CATGGCACACAAATTAAAATTCTGCAGCACACCCCAAAATATGTATTTTTGCGGATCTGACAAAATATGTATAATTTGGATTGGTTTACACAATAATAATAATAACCTACCCTTTTTGCTTCTAAATGACTTTAAAAAATCAGATGCCCATACTTTTAAGGATTTCTGGTACCAAGAATTAACCAGTCAGACACAAACTTACTATGCCACCAAAAAGAAGCAACTCCATTGTATGACCTACATATTTATGGCTCAAGACAGGGCATTCATCCCAAACGGCTATTGCTGTCTTGGCCGTTGTTATTTTTTTCTTTTTTTCTTTTGTATTTGACAATCTAAGGGAAAAGAAGTCAGTGCCCCTAACTAAAATAGGGGAATTGCATGTTTTAAACATTCTTGTAGTACGCGGGTTGAAAATCGCTGCTTTAAGGGTCTGCATGAGGGTGAGGCCAGGTGTAGCAGGAGGAGAGTGTAGTCACAGCAGGCAGGGCCTGGGACAACAGGTGGACTTGGGGGCTGTAAGGATCAAGGCGAGGGGCAGGGTTGGGCAGCAGCTGGAGGGCCCCCTGGAGCAAAGGCGGGGCTGAACCATAGGGGACAGGGCCAAGGGACAAAGGTCGGACTCCTTTAGGATGCAGGGGCATGGTACCAGTGCACGGAGCCTGGACCAGTGGTGTAGGGGATGTGAGTTGGGCCCAGAAAATGAAAACAAGTATGGCGTCAAATGCCAAGTACAGAACAGGAAGGGTCGGGGCCGCATAGGGCGGGACCTGGGTGCACTCCCCCGAGAGAGAGTGCCTCCTTAAATTTCGCACTTGAGGTGCCTCGCTTGCCTCACCCTAGTACCGGTCAAAGCTGAGCAAGGGAGTGCGACGGCTGCAGAGGCGGCCTGGGAGGGGGGTGGGGCGGACAATGGCACTCACAGTTTCCTCGCCTCCCAGGGGAGAAGCCTTACGCCTGTACGTGGGACGGCTGCGGCTGGCGGTTCGCGCGCTCGGACGAGCTGACCCGCCACTACCGGAAACACACAGGACAGCGCCCCTTCCGCTGCCAGCTCTGTCCGCGCGCTTTTTCACGCTCCGATCACCTGGCCTTGCACATGAAGCGTCACCTTTGAGCCACCCCCACGCCCCCTGCCCCTGCCATTTGGACCTTCTCAGGGACTGGGGACGGAACAACAGAGGGTCCACACAGGGCGATTTTCCCTCGGACAGACCCTCTCCCGGACACGCCGCCCCATAGACCTCCTGAAAGATCAAGGGCTGGCCCACAGACAGACCTGGGGGAGCCTCCGCCGGAAGCTCCCCCATGTCCCCAGCCACAGGGAGCCACACAGAGACTTCCTTAGGGTCATGCAGACCCAGCGAGACAGACCTCCCAATAAATGGACTCAGCTGGACACTCAGATACTTCGGACAGGGACACGCCCTTAGAAAGCTGGACCCTCAGACCAGCTCACAGGTGGCCCTGGACAGCGGGAAGGGGTTATGCGGTGGGGCTTCTCAGAGACAAGGGGGACTTCACACGGAAACTTCTGAAGCTCCGCACAGTGGCTGTGAATGGTTATGGGTCCTGTAATAATAACAATGCCCCTCCTGGATAAAGCTTCAACTGTGGCATGACTTTTGTGAGTTTTGGGTGCTGAAAGATGGGAGGAAGCTGTAACAGAGGTGATTTGAAGGGTGGGTGGCATATACCCTCACACTCATCTCCTAAACTTCATTGAGCCCCCCTCGGGTACTACAGGCCTTCCTGCCTCTCCTCCCTTACTCCAAAATCAGGCTACACACCCCTTGCCTTCTACCTTGAACTTCAGGGACATTCACAGGTATCCTCTCCCTCCATTTAAGAGCCCTCATCCCGGCCTCAGAAACACAGCACCCTCCTCTGTGCCATGATCCCAAGTGACCCCTTGGCTAACTCGGAGGAGCGATCGGGAAAACATGCAGAATGAAAAGGGAGAGGAGAAGGAGCACAAACACCCCTTAAGAGAGCAGAAGCCCCGAGTTGGACCTCGGGGGAAGCTGGAGAGAAAAAACCCAAATTTGCGTCTCATCCAGAAGCCGGTGGAAGAGCAGGATTCCGCGGGAGAGTGTATTAGGATTAGCCGGAATCCGAAGAGACAGAGGCGGAGCCTAGCGGTTGGGGCAGAGCAGTGACTGGAGAGGAGTCGGAGGCGGAACAAGGGGAACTGCTTGGCCATAAAAGGGAGTGGTCTGGGCCAAGTCAGAGGGTGGAGTTTATCAAGGGTCGAATCCACTGGAAGTAGGAAGCAACTGTAGGCTGGCCGGGTGGGGGCGGTACCTACGGGGAGTGACTGCCCAAAAGGAAGCCCCGCTCCCTCCCGGAGGACCCGGGATCTTCTTTTCAAATCTCTGCTTCTTACTTCGAGGGTGGAGTTTCCACCGGATGGGGTCCCGCCCTAGGATCCCAGAAGGGTTTAGGGAAATGAAAGTCACCAGTGATCGGGCCTGACCCAACTCGTGATCTAGCGCTCTGCGGCCCCCACACTGATTCCTCTCCTCCAGCCCCATGGCCGCATTGAGCCTGCTGCTCCTGGCCGCACTTCTATGGGTTCCTGCAGGGACCCTGACCTGCTACGGTGACTCAGGGCAGCCTGTGGACTGGTGAGTGCGCAGGCGCTGCATCCCCCAGAGCCGGACTGGGGATTGCTTTGCCCCTGGGGAAAGCTTTCACTTCTCCCTGCTCCGTTTCTGTCCATTCCCCGACCTCCAGGTTTGTCGTCTACAAGCTGCCAGCCCACAGCGGGCCGGTGGATGGGGCTCAATCGGGGTTGCAGTACAAATACTTGGATGAGGGCTCAGGAGGCTGGCGCGACGGCGCGAGGTCCATCGATAGCTTGGAGGGAGCTGTAGGCCGCAGCTTGCTGCCACTGTACAAGAACACCAGCCAGGTGAAGGGGTTGAGGTGCCGGCAGAACCGGGGGTAGGACTCTAGGGAAGGCCCGGCCTGGGGGGAAAACTTCACATCGCCCTGTCCATCCTCCCCAGTTAGCCTATCTACTTTACAATGACCAACCGCCTGCTGACTACAGGACTAAGAACTCTTCTAGCCGGGGGCACACGAAGGGTGAGTCTGGAATTGGAGGCTGAGGAAGAGCCCTGGTTTCCTTTTGCATTTCCCCCAGCTAACTAACTCCTGACCTGCAGGGGTGGGAAGGGAGCTCCTCGCCTTTTATAAATGTTATCTTTCCTCTGGACTGTGATGACAGTGGGCTGTGGAAAGAATTCAGCAGTTGTCCAAACACTGCCCACACACTCTCCAAGCTCTCTGCAAAGTGAGGATGTTCGTGGTTGCACTTGTGCTTGTTGGGGATGCCCTGAGCAGCTCCCCGATCTAGGCTTTTGGTTCAGGTGTGCTACTTCTGGACGAAGAAGGGGGCTTCTGGCTGGTCCACAGCACTCCCAGGTTTCCCACAAGTGCTGCATACCGTTGGCCTTTTGAGGCCCAAAAATATGGGCAGACCCTGCTCTGCATGTCTTTTTCCTTCGACCAGTTCTCAAAGATTGGTGAGTGGGGACAAGGAGGCCGGGTGATTCTGATTCCCAGGCCAGACTGTGCAACTGCCCTTCATTTTCTCCTCCTCTTCCCCTCCAGGCAGACAGCTGAGCTACACCTACCCCCAGGTATATGACTACAAACTGGAAGGGGTCTTCATCAAGAAATTACCTGACCTGCAGGAAGTGGCCCAGGGCCACCATGTTCACCAGGAACCCTGGAACAGCAGTGTAACACTAACATCAAAGGCAGGGGCCACCTTCCAGAGCTTTGCCAAATTTGGAAAGTTTGGAGATGGTGAGCCCTGAGGTTGTAGGTTAAAGAAGTCTTTCTCTGCAGAGTTGGTGTCAGGTGTGTCCATGGCTGAGGGCAGGTCAGAGATAGGAACTTGAACACTTTCAGAGCCATAAACACACAAGAGGTAGACAGACAAGTGAAGACCTGGGTTCAGCTACTGGTTTCTGGTCCTATGGTGCATGATTTAACTGGACTTTCAGTTTACCCACCTGAAAAAGTGGTTGTACTCATACCTACCGTACAGGGTTGATGTGAGTGAGGTGATGCATATAAAGTATTTAGTGAAGGCTGTTAGTACTAAAGCTGATATTCCTCAGGAAGTTGAGCTCAGAGCAGGGCAGCAGCCTAGGGATTCCCTAGCAGTGACCCTGACCCTGTCCATGCCCTCTTTCTATCCTCTGCAGACCTGTACTCTGGCTGGCTGGCAGAAGCCCTTGGCAGCAACCTGCAGGTCCAGTTCTGGCAACACTCCAGTGGCATCCTGCCCTCCAACTGCTCCGGGGCCCAGCAAGTGCTCGACGTGACCAAGATAGCCTTCCCAGGGCCAGCTGGGCCTACCTTCAATACCTCACAAGACCACTCCAAGTGGTGTGTAGCCCCAGAAGGGTCCTGGGCCTGTGTGGGCGACATGAATCGAAACTCTGGAGAGATGCATCGAGGTGGGGGCACAGTGTGTACCCAGCTGCCTGCCTTCTGGAAGGCCTTCCAGCCGCTGGTGAAGGCCTGTGAGCCCTGTGGGGAGGAGAGCGGTACCTTGTCTCCAGGAAGCCCAGCAGAGCACATAGGAATTAAGGTTTAGGAGCCAACTTGGACATCAGTTTAAATACCAGTTTAGTCTGCTCCTAATTGTGTGATCTTAATTATGTGCCTTAACCTGTGACTCACTCTACTTATTTGCAAAATAGGAACCACAACACCTGACTCAGGATTTGTGAGGAATAAAAGGAAACGGGCAGATGGGTCTGTTAACCCTTTTCTCAGGCGGGCACCGAGCCTCAGAGCAGCATTGCAGCTTAAGGGTCTGGGGACAGCTGGCTCATGGGGGGACCACAAGGAAAGGCCCACGTAAGACTCACCTCCCCTCTCTATGGTAACTGGGACTGGAGATCCGCCACCCAACAAGCAGACAGGCAAGGGGCTGAAACCTGGCCTTGCCATGGGAGGTGGGGCAAGCCCCAGAAAGCTCACGAAGCATGGACGCACTTTATTTATATGTGTACATATGTATAGTCGGCTGTACAGTGCAGGGCCAGTGGCCCCCTCAGCTACGGGCCAGGTGGTGTGGGGCAGGACGCCCTTTTGGTCACGTCTGCTGGGGGCACAGCTTCAGCAGTGTACCTAGGAGTCAGCCCCACCTCGGGTTTGGTAGCTGGGACAAGAAGGGGAACAGATGAGGCAGGGGGCCCTGTGCTGCTTGGTGCACTCTTCATAGGGGCTAGAGAAGAGGTCTGGGGGTCCGGGCAGAGCTTGGGGGAGGTGGGCTTGGAGCGAGGCCCGCTCAGCGTGGTCTGCTCCTGGACCACCTCCAGCACCCAGCGATCCGGGTCTCGGGGGGCCTCTGGTGGGGGAGGTGCTAGGGATGTGGGTCCCTGCAGCCCTTTAGAGTCCGAGACTGAAGGCTGAAGCACCGGCGCCTTGGCCCCAGGCCGCTCAGGCTCTACTACAATGGGCACTGGGGGCGTGCCCACCTCACCTGAGCTGCTGCGCCGGCCAGTTTCATGTTCTTGTACCGGGCTCAGTGTGGCCTTGGCGACGGTCCTGGCAGCCCCGCCCATGCCATCCTCGGTCTGCACGCTCTGGTGCCGAGTGCCGCTGGCGTCCCGTTCCAGGTTCCGGCCCCCTGGAGTCGTTGTACGGGCCTGGGTGCAGCCTTCCGCACCTCCAAGGGATTCCTCTTTATTAGGAAGGGTGCCCTCAGGAAGCAGCGGGTCCACACCCAGGCTGAGGGGCGATTCCTGGCGGCCCAGGCGGCGGACTGCGACCTGTCGGGTCACACCAGGCCCCTCCACAGGGGGCGTCTCACCATCAGACTCTGCCAAGCTATGCAACGCCAGCTCACCATGGAAGTCCTTACGGAAATCAGGATGGCCCACCTCGAGACTGTGTTTGCGCAGCGCGCCCTTCTTGTCCGCCCCAAGCGAGGCTCCCAGCTTCTCTGCGGACTGCACGCGTTTGAGGAGCGGCGAGCGCGGGGGCTCCGCACTCTTGGGGCGCGGGCGCACCACCGGTGGCGAAGAGTGCAGCTTGGCCGGGAAGCTCTGCGTTGTGTGCGAGCTGCCCACCGTGTGGCCAGGCAGAGGTGGCGGCGATGCCTGCGTGGGGGATGGTGTGTGCGCCAGCGGCGACAGCGGGATGTTGCCGGCCGACTTGCATCGGGCAGAGCGGTACTGGCGGTGCAGCTTCGGTGACAGGCCGTGCAGCGTGCTGGGCCGGATGTGGTGCGATGCCGACGACGCGGGTGAGTTAGGCGTGCTCGAGGCTGGCGAGCTGCTTTGGGATGAGGCACCTGTGGGTGGGGCAGAGGGGGTGTTGCACACGGCAGGAACCGCCAGGGGACCAGTCCCCTGCCACCCAGTGCTTGGCTCAGCACAGGCAGAGAGCTCACCTAGGTAGGCGGAGTCGGGTGTGGAGCGGTAGCTGTGAGTGGGTGAGCGTGCTGGCAGCCCGTGGGTGGGCGAGCCTGGGAGGCTGTCGCTGGACGACAGCGAGCGGTTCAGCGAGGACAAGGAGCGGCTAGTGTGCAGCAAATTCGACTGCTTCGTGATCTTGCGGAAGAGGGAACTGCGCTTCTTGCTGGGGGACAAGGAGAGGGCCACCCACCTGCGACCAGACTCCAGAACTCTTGGTACCCTCCCACTTCAGCCCCTGGGACCACCCACTCCTCTGGCCTCTCCCTCTCCAGCTATAGCTACATCCCACCAATCAAAACTTAAAGAACTCTCCCTGCCTGGTGTGGCTCAGTGGACTGAATACCAGCCTGCGAACCAAAGGGTAGCCGGTTCGATTCCCAGTCAGGGCACATGTCTGGGTTGCGAGCCAGGTCCCTGGTATGGGGCACACCAGAGGCAATCACACATTGATGTTTCTCTCCCTCTCTTTCTCCTTCCCTTCCCCAGTCTCTATACAGCTCTGGTCCACTTGGCTCCTCCCACCTCAGGCCCCATCCTAGAGATGCTACTCAAAGCAAAACCAACATTTTTCTGGCCCCACCTGAGAGGTGCCCAAGACATCTCTGACCCCACCCTCCAGCTACATCCCACTTATCAGAGCCAGGGGTTGGAGGGAGAAGTTCACTGACTCAGTTCAACCTGGGTCCTCTCACTTAAATCCCTACTCACAATTTGTCCAGGCCAAACCCACTGATCAAAACAGAACACTCTCCTGGCCCCACCTACCTCTCCTAGCTTCTCCTACCTATAAGAAAATAAATTATTTCACTTTGCACGGTGTTGCCTGGCTTGCTCATTCCAGATACAAATCCCTTCCTCGGCCCTTCCTAGTCATCTAAACACATCCAACTGGACAAGACCACCTCCTGACTGCGCCGTCTCTAATCCATATCTTCTGGCCCTGCCCACTTGCCCGAGACACTCCCACAATACTTTTCCTCCAGCCCAGGAACCTGGCACAGCTTCCTTTCTTAGTTCCTTCCATTTTCCCAGCTCCTCCGTCTTTGTCCTCTTGTTTTCACTCTTTACTCAGTGGCGTCCACACTTCCTTCTCCTGTTCTCACCTGTGGCCCTTCACGTTAACCCTTCCACTGTTCAAAAACTGGAGTACGGTCCTTGCCTGCTGTGTATAGTCCCACCCACCGCACTCGGCCCCACCCACCTCTCCTGGCCCTCTTTAGCTGAGGGTCTCCTGTTCCTCCGAGCCATTTTGGCCTTGTAGCTGCTGCGCCTTGCAGGGCCAATGCGAATGGAGGTATTTTCAAAGGGTGTTGTGGTCACTGCCACCTTGTTGCCACTCTGGGGGTCAAGAAGGTAGGCAAATGCTCTGTTGGAGGCTGTTCAGGAAGCTCCAGCTCTAAGGACCTCCCCTCCCTTCCCCCTCCCCAGTGTGCTCCCTCCCTTGCACTCACCTTGAGGATCAGCTCTACGACCTCAGGATGTACCATACCATGCACAGGCTCCCCGTTCACGTGGGTGATGAGGTCTCCGGCACAGAGCCCTGCCTCCTGGGCTGGGCCCCCCTCCTCCACGTGCTGGGGACCGGGCACCACACAGGCAGGGTTAACAAGATCAGTAACAAGGAAGCTCCCTAAGCTTATGTGCCAGGCACATAGCTCTAGTAATTATTCTTCCCAGTTTACAGCTAAAGAAACTGAAGCTCAGAGGGGGAAGAGACGCTGCAGGTCACAAGAGTCCCATCTAGACTTCCTGGATCCAGAGATTGAGCTGTCGCTCACCCCTGGCTGTTAAGGGGATTCTCTTCCCCCACCCCCCAGCTTGGAACACAGACCCACCCATGAGTGCTCACCCAGACAATGTGGTGGACACTGTAAACATCTGAGTCACCCATGTAGACGCGAATGGCTCGCAGTGTGAAGCCATACTTCTTGCCAGAGCGTTGGATGGTAATAGGGGAGCGGAGCCCACTGACAGCGGGTGAGTAGTCCCGGCTGGGTGAGGAGTCCCTCGAGGATGGGTTGGAGGAGAGAGATCGTGGGGACATGGGGCTGGCCAGGGGTGAGCTTCCATGGGGGTCCACTGCAGACACAGAACCATGGCCAGAGGTCAGTCACAGGTCTCCCTGCACTGTTCCTCCCTCCTTCCTAGTCAAAGTCCCAGGTCTCTCATTGGTCCACCTCAGTGCCAATCACTATGGATGGTAAAAATGTCGTGTTTTCATTGGCCTATCTTGGCACAAATGAGGACAGCCCCTCCCCTGCCAGGTGGGGCTGGCATCACCTGCAGGAATCATGACAGACAAGGCAGTGGCAGAGGCTGACTTGATAACTTTGCCTCCGGTTCGAGAAGGCCGCTTCTCTACCGCGGGGTCCCCTGACAGCTGCTGATGCCGCGCCCGGCGCAGAACCAGGTCATTAGTGGCCCTTGGGCCTGATGGGTCCCCATCCTTCGAAGGTGGGCACAGGTCGCCTGGGCGTGGTTGGTCAGCTGCAACAGAGCAGGTGGGTTAGGAGTCAGTCCAAGATCGCAGACTTTTTGCATATGTTCACTCTGCCTGGCTTGCTTTTCCCACTTCTCGCTCTTGTTCGAATGTGAGTTTCCGGAGAGCAAGTAACGTGCATCTGACACAGCTCACACACGTTTATTGACTGACTGAGCAGGGACTGCAGAGTGTTCCTCATGCTGACAAGAACCCAGACTGGAGTGTATAAAATATGTGCAATCTTGCATAAACAGTACCAGGCTCATCGAATGCTCAATATATGGCCACTGGGGAACTAGGGAAGACGGTGGGAGGGGCCACTCACTGGCTTCAGGGTCGCAGGCACTGGCGGTGACATCTTCTTGAGCTGCCTCTTTGGGAACCCGCGCATCCAGCGAGCCTGGGGGATCCGAGCTGGGCCGCGGAGGCCTGCGAAGCCGGGCCTCATCCTCATCCTCTTGAGGGGCGCTGAAGCGGCTGGGCTCCAGAAGCGCCGAGAAACGGCGACGTGCGCCCAACGGAGGACTGGCCTCCCCCTCCAGGAAGCTGGCCTCTGAGGCTGAGAAGCGCTTGCTGCTGAAAGGTGGGGTGGTCAGAGGCGACACGCTCCTTCATCCCCGCTCCCCAAATATAGCCCTGCCCCTGCTCACATCTCTGGGGAGCCCCCTCTCCAGCTCTTCTCACGCAGGGTCAGGCTACCCAGGCCCTCCCGCTTGCCGGCCACCTTCTCCTCTAGACCCTTGGCGCTCAGCTCCCGCTTGCTGCCCCCCGCTGCTGCCGCCACGGGGGTCTTGGGCTCATGCTGCGACAGCTGCTCCATACTGCTATAAACCTGAAAGGGAGGGTGAGTGGTGATGGGAGGCCAGTCCGGCCCCCAGGTTCCGCCTTCGCTCCAGAGCGAATCGGCTTCCCGCTACTGAACACGCTCCGCCCACCCAAGGCTGAGCCCCGCCGAACTCTGAATTGTCCCGCAACCAACTACAGTTCTTCAGCTCAGAACCTACCCCACACAATTAGGCCCTGCCCTACTCTATACCTGACCCGTATCTTGAATTTGCCCTTTCCTGCCCACCTTCCCAGGCTCCACCCAATCACATGTACCCCAAGCTGGGCTTTGAACCCCACTACACGCTCCTCCTCAAAGCGAGACCTGGTGCACAGTTGCCCTGGGCCCACTGCTCACCCTCTCCACCCCAAGGTCCTGACCCCGCCTCATCTAGACCTAGCTCCGTCCCACTGAGAGTCCTCATTACCACAACTGTGCAGATCTTAGATTCCACCCAAAGCCAAAGGCCCTCCCATATACCCCCAGGCTCTATCACTCCCAGAATCTTGCTCCCTAGTAACTTCCTAGTAACTTCCCAGCCTGAGACCTCGGGCCTGGGACCCTGATTCCCCAGCCTCTTCAGCGTTTCCCCACTCTGGCCCGCCTCCCTCCCCCTCTTGTAGACAAAGATCCTCAACCCCTCCCCAGCCAGGCCCCACCTCCCGACCTTGCCGGGTCCTGACCGGGTCTGGCCCCACGCCTAGCCCAGCCTTGGCTCACTTTGCTGAAGCGCGGGGAGCAGGAGGAAAACTGGCGGATCTCCACAGGCTCCTCCTCCGTCGTGTCATCCTCATCATAAGAGTTCACGTGGTGATACCTATCTGAGCGGGCTGGGGAGGGGGTGGGCCGTGACCAAGGACAAGGGTCCACTCCTCAGACCGCACCCTTACAGGAATCAGGTCCTGGTTCCTGCCAGGGCTGCAGGCCCTGCCATGCCCCTGTCCCAATCTAAGATCTGATTCAGGCCCCTGCAGCCAGGCTGGGTTCCAGCCCAACTCCCAGAGACCCCATTTCTATGGCACTCTCCACCATGGCTCCACCTTGGGCCAGCCCATGCCTCTGCCTTAGTTTTGGATCCTAGCACCCTAGCACCCTAACCTGAGCCCAACTCCAGAACTCACCACTGTCAGGCCCCACCTCTACCCCAGCCTCTTTCTGTCTACCAAATTCTCAGACTGAGTCCTGCCACTACGCCAGGCCACTCTCCCTCCACCCCTCTCCTCTGTCTGAGAAGCTGGTCTCCTAGCCAGTTGGGCTCCAGCCCAGGACTTGCCTGAGTGCCCCTGTCACCGGAATCCACCCCCTCTCCCAGCTCACTGTCGAAGTAGCTGGTGTCATCCTCGGACTCCAGGTGGGGGATGAACTCTGCTTTCTGCCTCAGCAGCCCTGTCCAGTCCAGGTCTCGGAAGAAACTGTGCTGCTTTACCTCAAAGGCACCTCCTGCGGAGGAAAGGGTGTGTGGGGGCTGGGAGGGAATTCCAGCGGCAGCTGATGGCCAGCTCAGAAACCCAGCCACACACCCCTCTCTTCCATCCAGGGGGCCACAGAACCCAGAGTCCAGCCCTCAGCTTCTCCCATCCAAGTACTAACCGGGCTCGGCCCTGCTTAGCTTCTGAGATCAGGCGAGATCGGGTGCGTTCAGGGTGGTATGGCTGTGGACTGTCCTCAGCTTCTCTATATAGCAGACCCCTTACCTGCCCCAAGCCGGACCAGAGGGTTGGTCTGCAGGAGGCTGGATATCAGGAGCTGGGCATCTGTGGGCAGGGCCTCATCTCCTTCCGGCCACAGGATGTCATCTGAAGAGCAAGGTGGGGCTGGGGGTCACTTTTGGAGTCCAGAGACCCTGGGTGAGCCCATCTCCCCGACCTGCACACTGAGGAGGCTACGCACCACTGATGACCTGTCCAAATAGTTCTTCGGGCGTGTCTCCAAAGAAGGGCACGCAGCCCACCAGGAACTCGTAGAGAATGATGCCCATGGCCCACCAGTCCACCGGCTTGCCGTAGCCCTGGCGCAGGATGACCTCGGGTGCGATGTACTCTGGGGTCCCACACACCTGGGGGCAGGCCGTCAGCCTGCACCCTGGCCACAGGAAGGGCCTCAAGGGGGAGCTGCACCCTTCACCACACCCTGGGCCCCACGGTCTTGCTGGATAACTCTCCCCACCGTGACCCCCACACCTGCACACATACCTGTTTGTCCAAGAATTCCCGGGCATCCTTCTCAATGTGGCCTTCATACAGGTTAGTGGTGAGGCTCATGAGTCCCATTTTGGAAAGGCCAAAATCTGTGAGCTTGATGTGGCCCATGGAAGTGATGAGGAGGCTGAAAATGCAAGCACGGGTCTCAGAGGCAAGGCCTGCCCACTTCCCTCCTGGCCCTTCTACACCAGTGCCTCCGGAGGGGCACAGAGGGAGTGATTAGAAAGGTCAAGACTCACTTGTCAGGCTTGAGGTCACGGTGCACAATGCCATAGTTGTGCAAGTACTCGAGCGCCAGCACCGTCTCGGCAAAGTACATGCGGGCCATCTCCACAGGCAGCGCCCCGATGTTCTTCAGCAGGGTGGCACAGTCCCCACCTGTGTGTGAAGGAGTAGGCCCGTGTAAAGGGGGAGGCACCCCTGCCCCAGAGTTGAGCCCTCAACATGAACTACAGCACCAAGTCCTCGCCTCATGTTGCCCGTATTTTACAGTTAAGGAAGGCTGAGGCACAGACAGGACCTCCCTCTCCTCAGGTCGCACAGGGAATGCCCTCTACCAGGCTCCTCTTGTCCTCTTAACCACCCTCCAAAGTTGGCTTGATCTGAGACTCAGGTTGGATCATGCAGGGAGTTGATGGTGGAGATGAGGTTCGGTGGGTACCAAAGGCTGTCTGCTCATCAGGTGAGTCTAGAAGACCCTGGCTGGTGTAGCTCAGTGGATTGAGTGCAGGCCTGAGAACCAAAGAGTTCCCAGATCGATTCCCAGTCAGGGCACATGCCTGGATTGCAGGTCAGGTCCCTGGTGGGGATGGCATGTGAAAGGCAAGCACACATTGATGTTTCTCTCCCTGGTTTTCGCCCTCTTTTCCCATCTATAAAAATAATCTTTCAAAAAGTTTAATTTAAAAAAACTAGTCTGGGCCCTGGCTGGTGTGGCTCAGTGGATTGAGCACTGGCCTGTGAACCAAAGGATTGTGGTTCGATTCCCAGTCAGGGCACATGCATGGGTTGCCGGCCAGGTCCTCAGTTGGGGGCATGCGAGAGGCAACCACATATCGGTTTCCCTCTTTCTCTCTCCCTTCCCCTCTCTCTAAAAATAAATAAACTAAGTCTTTAAAAAGATAAATGTAGAGATTTTAAAAAATATTAGTCTGGAAGTACTGCCCTTGATCTCCTGGAGTCTGAATCTTGAGTCTGGGCCTTGAGTCTGAAATCTTGAGTCTGAGCCTGGACCCCACCAGGTTTACTGTGATGGTTAGGCTCCCCCAATATGCATTCCTCCTTTTTCTTACAAGAGCCGGATTTGCTTCCAAGGACAGCAGCTGACCCAAGTCGCTCAGCCCTCCAATTTATCACTTATTTTTTCACAAAGATTGTTGAGCTAGCAGGATGCAAGTTGGGAGCTGCTGGATGGCAACGTCGCTATATCAAGGCCTGTCTGGGTATAATTTTGATTCATTCACACTGGATAGCTACTGTTGGGCTGGCTGTCATTTTTTAATTCGACAATCTAAGGAAAAAGAGGTCAGTGCCCATGACTAAATAGTCAAGTGCTTTGCATGTTTTAAAAGTTCATGCAGCACACCAGTCGAAAATCGCTGCCTCGAAATCCAGATGCCTTCCCACTTGAGAGACCTCGTTCTTGGGTCCCTCTTCCAGGTGCAGTGCAGGCCTTGGAGAGGCTCCAGACCCTCTGCGCCCCAATGGCCTCCTTGAGCCTTAAGGTCCTCATTACCGTCCTCACTAATACAAAACAACTTCATCATCTTTGGCTTATTTCACTTGTTTATTGTCTGTCTACCCAGAATATAACTTGCACGAGGGAGAGGTGTGCGGGCCTAGTCCCCGCTGTGCAACCAGTGCCTAGCACACAGCCTGTGGCACGAGGGAGGCAATGGGGGATATCTGTGGAATGAACGGATGGCTGGCTAAGGCTTAGGGGTGGCACAGCTGTAGCCCCACGAGATCACGTGTGTGTCCTAATAACCATAGTATGCTTGTGTTTGGCTGATGATGTGTTAACATTTGGATCAATAGAAGTGTGGATGGATGGATTAACAGATGGAAAATTTATGCATTGGTGGTTGGATGGATGGGTAGATGGATGGTAAATAGATAAACTGATAGATGAATTGTGGACAAATGGATAGAGATAGCTGGAGGAGATGGGTAGAACGGAGGTTCAGATGAATGAATAAAAATACAGATAGTAAATGGATGGATGGATGGGTGGATAATGGATTAATGCATAGATATTGGTATTGGTAGATGGACAGATGGTGAGTAGATGGGTGAATACATTGATGAGTGAATGAATGGTTAGCTGTATAAAGAGATGGATGAGTGAAAAACAGATGTGCAACACAGAGTGAACTCTAATATAAACTACAGACTCCATTTAACAATGTACCAATATTGGTTCATAAATTATAACAAATGTACTACACTAATGCAAGATGTAAATGATAGGGGAGACTGGGGGAGGGGGTAGGTATGTGGGAACTCAAATGTGCTTTCCAATCAGTCTTTCTGTAAACCTAGAACTACTCTAAAAATGAAGAACTACTCTATTAAATTTTTTTGTAATAATCGATGCATACAGGATAAACAGATGGAAGGATGGAAAAACATGGACTAACAAACAAATCAATGGGTGGAAGAATGGAAGGGTGGATGGATAATTGGATGGATGTATCTATATTGGATGAAATGAAAACAGACAGATAAACTAATAGATGGCTGGATAGAAATAAGCAGATGAAATGGATGACCAATGACTGGATGGATGAATATGTGGACAGTCAATACAGTGACTGGGGTCGGGCAGGCTGCCCTGACCAGCATGCATCCCCCGTCTTCTCTGCAGCCCAGCAGGCAGCCACACCTTCCACGTACTCCATGACCATGCAGAGGTGGCGCCGGGTCTCAAAGGAGCAGAACATGCTGACCACAAAGGGGTTCTCAGCGAAGGTGAGGATGTCGCGCTCCACAAAGGCCTGCTGGATCTGGTTGCGCAGGATCAGGTTCTGCTTATTGATCTTTTTCATTGCGAAGCGCTGCCTTGTGTCCCGGTGCCGTACCAGGTAGACGGCGCTGCAGGGGGAGAGAGCGAGGACCGGCCATCACCTCCGAGACACCCGGCCTCCGCTACCCTCCCCCTGCCAGAGCCCCGGGTGGCTCACCCGTAAGCACCATTGCTTATGAGCTTGATGGTATCAAAGTCATTCTCTCCAGGTGGTTTCTTAGCCTTCGTGGTACTGCTGCGGCCCTGCAGGGGAAAGATGGAGACCACCACCATCATCATGATAACATTGGGACTCATTATTCCATTTTACCCATGGGGAAACTGAGGCACAGAGGGGGTGTGTCCTTCATCCAAATGCCTCACTGAGGAAGTCACAAAATCAGGACTTGAACCCAAGACTGTCTGACTCTGAAGCCATATTCCTAACTTCTTTACATTAGTAATGACGCCTATGAAATAATCACCCTCATTATAAAGAACTCTCAGAAATCAATAATAAAAAGCCTAACAACAAAAACAGGCCAGATATGTGAAGTAGGATTACAGCTCTTAAACACGTGAAAAGATGCTAAACCTCACATATAATGATAGAAGGGCAAATTAAAACAACCCAAGATACCATATTTAACTTAGCAGACTGGGGAAAAAAACACAGAGTAAAGCTGTGGGAAAACAGCTACTTTTATACCTTGCTGTTGGGAGTATAAATTGGTACAAGCCCCATGGAAGATACTTTGATGCATATCACAATTACAGTGCACATTCCCTTTGACCCAGCAATTTCACTTTTGAACTAACTCTACAGATAGGATTGCACATGTGAAAATGATGTATGTACTATGTACCCTGGCTGGTGTGGCTCAGCGGGTTGAGTACCATCCTGCAAACCGAAATGTCACAGGTTTGGTTCCTGGTCAGGGCACATGCCCAGGTTGCAGGCCAGGTCCCCGGCTGGGGCGTGTGCAAGAGACAACTGATCTATGTTTCTCTCACACATTGATGTTTCTCTCCTTCTCTTTCTTCTCCTCCCTCCCTTCCCCTCTCTCTAAAAATAAATAAAAAAATAAAATCTTTAAAGAGAAAAAAATGACATATGTACTATCTTGCTCATTGCAAATCTTAGTAACAATCAACACATGCAACTATAGGAAATCGGCTAAATAAACATGTGAGCGGTGTCTGGAGGAAGGAATATTGTGTCCTTGTTAAAAAGAATGAGGAATCTACCAGTATATCGATTCAGAAAGTTCTTCCAAGTATTTTATCAAGTGGGGGACAAAAGCAATAATATGTACTTTAGGCTTTTATGTAAAAAAAGGTGATAAAACAGAACTCGGTAAACATACTTGGTGGTGCTCAGCAGCACATGTACTAATAATATTTGGGGGGACATAGGGCAGTAAAGGACACGGGCTGATGTAGGATTCTTCACTGTGTAACTTCTTTGAAAATTATTTTTACTTTTTTAGGGACAATATGTTTGTATTATTTACAAAAATATTACACAAAAAGATCTATGAGATTTTTAAAATACTGAACTGTTATGTTTCTTAGAATGTGGCCTATACCTTCCTTGGGGCGGTCACACAGGCAGCACTATGAATAGCCAGACATGGGGCATCACAGCCTACAAGTTTAGTGCCTTCACATTGAAATTGGTGGAGCATGAGCCTCCTTCCACTGCCCATAGCCCACAGGGTTAAAGCCCGTGGTTTCCACAGAAGCACCACCTATTGTATTTGCCACACCAACTACTGACTTCTGGTTCTACTGCATATGATTATGCTGAGAAGAACAAAGTTCCAGAATGGCAGAAATTCTCCCAGAAACCGGATGCTGTGCCATCCACCTCAAACAGGGTCTGCTTGACCCCACGCTCTACTGGACACCATGGCGTGACAGTGGGAGGGGGACCTTCTACTGCCTGATCGCCCCCTTCACAGCCCAGAAACAAACGAGTTAGGCTGCAAAGGACTGGTTTGCTTTTTCCCATAAACCCTTTGAATTTTTATCATTTCTGTAAAAAAAATCATTAAACTCACATGGCCTACTTAACATTTTGCAAGAATAAAATAATAAGATAACATTTTGGTTTGTTTATGAGATGCACATGGCCGGTCAGAGCTGATTGGACAGTGAAAACTAATGTTCAAAGAAATGCTGCTGCTCTTCGAGTTTGGGTTTTTTTTTATTAAGCTTGATTGATTGTTATGATTAGCTGTGAATGTTTACATTGATTAATTCAGCACATATTTATTATGTCTTAAGAACTACTTTATTTTTTAAGGTTTTATTTATTTACTTTTTAGAAAGAGGGGGAGGGAAGGGAAAAGAGAGGTAAAGAAACATCAATGTGAGAGATACATCAATCAGTTGCCTCTCACACACCCCAACTGGGGACGTGGCCCCCAACCCAAGCATGTGGCTTGACTGGGAATAGAACCTGTGACCTTTTGGTTCACAGGCCAGCACTCAATCTACTGAGCCACACCAGCCAGGGCCAAGCTTGGGATCTTGAGTTCCCTGAAGGTTCTGGATGAAGGTTGCATACAGGTTCATTAGTGGCAGTCTACACTGAGGTCCTGGGGACTTATGGTGGCATTTTTGAGCACGGGGTACCAGAGCCTTTCTGATTTGGATGTGTCTGAGAAAGGAAGACAAAAGCCAAGGCCAGATGCATGAAATGAGGGGCTTGAGTTTATAGTTACCTTGGAGATTTTTCCTTCTTGCAGTAAAATGTTAATAGACATTATTTGCAGCACGCCTCTACTCATTGGGCAGTATGATTCAAAGCATTATTTGCCTCATCTCAGGTCTTTAGTGAAGTTTTCTGTGTAATTATTATGTATTATTCCACCACGGGAATGGAACACCTATTTAGTGTTGCATTTTAGACCGATGCCTGTTTTATTAAAAAGGTTGGGATACAGAATCTCCTTTACCTTTTAAAAATATTATACCATTTAGATTATGATTTATTTTGATTGTAGAATAAATACATGAATGAAAATTTTTTAAAAAGAATGTAGCCTAAAAATATCTGACACAAAAATTGACAGAATTACAGAGAGAAATACCTCAAAACAATGATTTAACACATACCTTTCAGACACTATGAGATCAATCAGGCAAGATAAATTAATAAAGGAATAGGGAGATGGAAGATTTGAATCACTCAATTAACAAGTTTGATTGAATGGAATTATGTAGAATCCTACAAACAACAATTAAAGATAAATACCTTTTAGAGTTTTAGACTTTTGAGTGATGTCATTCCATTACCTATTCAAAAAATTAAACAAATGGCATGTATAGTGAGATTCTTTTAAATATATATATTTACATATATATATATATATATATATATATATGAAAGATATGTGTGTGTGATTTTTTCAAAAGAAGACCCAACCCCAGTTTTGAGGCAAAATCTTCTGATTTCTTTATTTTGCTTCAAACTTTTGAATAACACTAGACACTGCAGAGGAAACACACGCATGGCTGTCATGGCAGGCAGTCTCTACTGGGCACGTGGGGCATCTTCCAAAGTGTGGCTGGCCTGGCCATGGCACTGCGGCAATTCTTACTGCACTGAGCTCTCGGCACAAAAGACACTCAGCTCACTCAAAACTGCATGCATCACTCCTCAATAAATTAAACATAGAATTACCATATTACCCAGCAATTCCACTGCTAGGTATATACCCAAAAGAACTGAAATAGTTGTTCAAACACCTGTACACAAATGTTCATAACAGCACTATTCACACAACAGGCAAAAGACAGAAACAACTCAAGTGTCCACCAGTGGACAATGGATAAACCAATATGATATATCCCTGCAATGAATTATTATTCGGTCACAAAAAGGAGCGAAGCACTGATTCATGCTACACCATGAATGAACCTTGAAAACACTTTGCCAGACACAACACACCACAGAGTCCATGGTTCCATGTATACGAAATGTTCAGAAAAAGCAATCCACGGAGACAGAAAGCAGGTCAGTGATTGCCGGGGCCCTGCAGGAGGGGGAATGGGGAGTGACTGCCTAATGGCTACAGTTTCCTTTTGGGTAATGAAAATGTTCCAGAACTAGAAGAGGTGATGGCTGCACAACATTGTAAATGTACTAAATACACTGAATTGTTCATTTTAAAACAGTACAGTTTGTAGTATGTGTATTTGACTATGAAAAGTAAAAGGCCCATGGAAGAAGAACACATTATTAACCCAACTGACAGATGAGAAAACTGAGGCTCAGAGCAGAGACCAAGAGATCTACCCAGCCAGACGGCACAGAGCCAGGAGGTGTGAGCCCCTGCCTATCCAGCCAGAACCAGAGTACTGACCTCTAGGCCACCTGGCCTTACCTCAGACAGGTCATCCTGTTCCGGCGTGTTGGAGCCACCACTGTCCTGTTCCTCCAGGTGCACCACGTCTAGGAAGCAACTGAGAGTGAGTGGAGGTAGGATCCCAGTGGGCTCGCCTCCAGCCCCCTGTGCCTACCAGCTGTCACCTGGAAAAGGGTCCCGGGTGAGGCCCAGCTGGCGGATGATGTAACGAGGGATGTCTGTCTTGACAAGATGGCCCTCCTTGGCATGGCCCTCGGCTGCCTCTAGCAAGTGGTAGAACTCCTCGGGGTTGAATTCCTGAGGCAGGGCAGGGGTGGGCTTGCGGCAGGCTCTGAGGGGCCCCTGCCAGCCCCCCCGCCCCCTCCCAGCTCCCTCACCAGGCACTCCAGCAGCCTTGCAGGGCGAGAGATGATAATGAGCAGTTTCTTCACCAGCTGGGTGACGAAGGCCACCTCTAAGCTCTCAGAACGTTCATAGGCCTGGGAAGGAGAGCACATGGGGTGAGGGGATTTCCAGGCGCCCTGCCTCAGCCAGGCCCTTCTCCCAACCCCACCATCTACACACCACTACTATTGTGGTATTTTGGTTTTTTATTTTATTTTATTTTGATTTTGATTTTATTCTATTCTATTCTATTTTATTGTTTAACCTCACTCAAGGACATGCTTATTGATTTTTTAGAGAGAGGGGAAGGAAGGGAGAGGAACATCGATGCGAGAGAGAAACATCAATCTGTTACCTCTTGCACATACCCTGACTGGGGACTGAACCCAAAACCTAGATATGTGCCCTGACCAGGAACCGAAACCGCAACCTTTTGGGTTAGGGAATGACGCTCCAACCAACTGGGCCACCCCAGCCAGGGCTGCTGTTTCATTTTTTAGGTGAGAAAACTGAGGCCCAGGCCACAGAGTAAAAATAATGATCACTATTATTATAGCAGACAGTGTCCTAAAACCTTCACTCTTGCAATTCACGTTCCCTCTGACTGGCAGGCTCTCCCCTCGGATCCCCGGGTGACTCCCTACTTCTCCATCAGGTTACCACTCCGTTGCCACCTCTTCACAGAGGCCTGACTTATTCTCTCCACCCCAACCTGAAACTGCAGCTCACCTCCTGGTAGCAAACTCAGTCACAATGACCCTAACCTACTTCTTTTTTCCATCACATGAATACCCTTCAAACATGGCATATATTAATTTACCTATCATGCCCACCGGGGTGAGGCAAAGAGGCACCCATCTTGGGACAAAAACCTCACTCTTCAAGATCACTGATATTTTAATGCAATGTTTGAAAAATCAAAATGAATGACAAAAATCTGTGACAAGCAAGAGAGCAGACTTTAAACAAGCACAGGATCCAGTGAGTGCTGTGTGCAGCCATGTTGGAGCTTAAAGCAAAAGGAAATGTGAGAATCTATATGTGCTTTTTAGACATTAATGGTTTTAATAAAAATTATATCGCCCTGGCTGTGTGGCTCAGGTGACTAGATCATCGTCCCATGCACCAAAAGTTGCAGTCAGAACACATACCTCAGTTTCGGGTTCGATTCCTTGTGGGGATGCTTACAGGAGGCAACTGACTGATGTTTCTCTCTCCGATTGTTTCTCTCTCTCCCCTCTCCCCCTTCCTCTCTCCCTAAAATCAATCACTGAACATATCTTTGGGTGAGGGTTAAAAAACAAATATAGTTGGTTAGAGCATCCTCCCATGGACCAAAGTGTCCTAGGTTCAAGCCCAGGTGGGGAGCACACGAAAAAGAAAAGGGCAAATAACAGATGTTTCTCTCTCACATCAATGTTCTCTTTCTCTTTCTAAGAGCAATGAAAACATGCCTTAGGGTGAGGATAAAAAAATAAAAATACATAGATAAATAAATAATATATATTACTGTTGATAAGTTTGCTTTTACTAAAACCAGAAAAGTAAAACATTCTGATTTAATTGCAAATAAATATTTAACTTAAAATAATGTTAAGTTTTAATATGCTTACTGTTCAACTTTTTCAGTAATTAGTTCAGTGTTCTGGGGGGAAAAGTGGGTCACTTGCCTTATCCTAGTCCCAACTCTGGTGCCCGTTGTTTGCTTTCTGCTGCTTCTGGCTAGTGTTTCAGCTCCCCAGGGTGGGGACTTCTATCTCCAGCTGATTTTCCAACTTCTAGGCCAGTGCTGCCCCCAAAATAGGTTCTTAATAAATATTTCTGGCATTAAAGAATGAGTGAATCCCACTTTTATAGCAGAAGGCATAGAGAGGTTAAGTGACTTGGAAAAGTCAATAACCTCTGCATAGTAAATAAGTCAGGAGCTGGATGTGAATCTAGGCTGTTTGGAATCTGTACTCTTGACTCCTGTGGACTTAGTGGCAGAATCAAAACTCAAACCAGATCTGATGGCAAAGTATGTAATCACACCAACATGCTGTCCTTTGGGGCAGAAGGCTGGGAGCCCAGAGCTCCATATTCTGGTCCTTCTGCCCTTATCCAACCTCATCACCTCAAGACAGTGCAGTAGCATGGCTTCTGTGCTCCTGGAATTTTCCAGCCTGCCTCCTCACTTCAGGGACCTTGCATGTGCTGTTCACCCTGCTCAACACAAATGCCCTCCAGCTTTTCTCATAACTGCCACCTCCTAATTCTTTCCCCAATTTCAATGTCACCTCCTCCAGGGAGGCCTCCTGGACTTTACAAGGGAGGCCCTAACACTCCAACCAGTGCCCTTCTCTAATTTTCTTTGTAGCCTTAAGCATCAGCTGAAATAATTGACTTCCTCAATTTGATCATTTTCATGCTTCTGTCCATCTCCCATAGTAGGATATCAGCCCTAGGAGGGCAAGAATATTTCTCTGGTTTGCTCACTGCTGTGTTCCCAGTGCCCCAGTACACAATGCCCAGCACACACTAAATGTTCAATAAATGCTATCCATTATCATTGAGTGAGGGCATCATCTTGTTTACTTTCATTTATTCATCCATTCACCCATTTATTTAATCAACACTTATTGACCACCTACTGTGTGCTGGGCACTGTGCTGGGCACTCGGAGTACAACAGTGTACAAATAGGCAACATTACCATCACCTGTGGGACTGACAAGAAATGAGATAAGAAAAAAACATACAGTATGACAGATGGTGCTAAGTGCTAAGGTAAAACCTGAAGAGGCAGTGGATGATGAGTGTGAGCACAGTTTGACATTTAAACAGAGGGGTCTAAGAGGCCGAACTGAGAAGGTGATATTTGAGTAAAGACCTGAAAGAGGTTAAATACCTGCCTCCCCCATCAGATCTAGAGCAGGCATTGCGTCCTTTTCTTCCACCCCTGAATTCTCAGCTCCACACCAGCGCCTAGAATGTGGTAGGAGCCCCCTGAGTGGATGTTGGGCAAAGGAAGGCATTGGCCTGGTTTTGGGGTGCAGAGTCTGGGATGGGGCCGGCCTGCCAGTGCACTCACATCCTGCAGCAGCTTCTCTAGGTTCTCCTGCAATTCGTAGAAGTAGACCGTGGTTATGAGGCCGTCGCGGGACTTGGTCAGGCAGTCCCGGGCCAGCTCGATGATCTGGTGGTGAATGAAGCTGAGCACCCCGTCGGCCAACGGCAGCACGCTGTCAGGTTCGTAGGCGCGGGTGAAGTCGCGCAGCTTCTCCTCCATCTGCGCGGTGGCCTGCGGGAGCGATAAAGACAGAGCTTAGCCCAGAGGCTGTGGTCATCAGAAGCCTGCGCTGCACACGCAGACCACCAGGGGGCGCGCGGAGCTAAGGCGAGCAGGGAGGGCTGTGGCCGCCCAGCTTGCCCGCGGCGTCCCCGCCCTGACCCTCACCTTTGGGAACCTCTCCTTGTAGACATGGTTCATCATCACGATTTCGTTGTCATAGGAGGAGGGGGATCGCCCGGGGCTGTGGGGAGAGAAGCCCATCCTGTCCAGTCTCCTGCCTATTCGCGGGGACTGGAATTTTGTAGTGCACAAGCACCCAAACTACCGACTTGGAGTTGGCGGATGCCGGCCCACCTGAGGCTCCGCGAGCGGGGCCGCACTGCCGGGGAGCGGCGGCCTCCATCCTCGTCTGTGATGCTCTCAGTGCTGCCAAAGTGTTTGGACAGGAAGTGGAGCTCGTCCACGGTGGGCTGGTAGGGCAGCTGGTGCAGGCGCTCCTGGGAGGAGCAGGAAGACTGGGGGCGAGGTGGGGGGGAGGCAGTACCAGGTCAGGGCTACTGCGGTCCCCCCACAGCTCAGGACCCAGGGCTCAGATTCCCGGGGCTGATGGACTGCTGGCAAGGCTGGTGTTAGGACCTGATTGTGATCCTGGAGTCCAAGGACCCAGGTTAGTACTCTTGGCAACAGAGGGATGGGGACAGACGTGTAAGAACAGACACAGATGTGACTAGAGGGAATCTGTTAAAATGTAAGTCAAACCCTGACTGGTGGGGCTCAGTGGATCAGGCCTCTTTCTGCAAATCAAAATGTGGCCGGTTTGATTCCGAGTCTGGACACATGCCTGGGTTGTGGGCCAGGTCCCGGGTTGGGGGTTGGGGAGGGACAGAGGCAATGATTGAAACTGATTGGTGCTTCTCTCACATATTGGTGTTTCTCTCCCTCTCTTCCTCCCTCCCTTCCCCTCTCTCTGAAAATAAATAAAATCTTTTAAAAAATTAAAAAACAAAACAAACCTGAGTCAAGTCGCATCCCTCCTCTGTTCAGAACACTTCGTGGCTCTCACCTTACTTGGGGTGAACACCAAAGTCTTCCTCACAGCCCACAAGATTCTGCATGAACATCTGGCCCTGTCTCTCTACCCTCACCTCTGCCCACTCTCCCTCTCTCTTGCTCTCCTCCACCCACAGAGCTGTGGCCTTCCAGATAGACCTTAAACAAGGCAGGCACACTTCTGCCTCAGGGTCTGTGCACTGGCTGTTCCCTCTGCTCGGAGCACATCTACTATGGATGACTCCTCTCTCAAATTTTTGCTTACGTGTCACCCTTCAGGGAGGTCTCCTCTGAACACACACCTGTCACTTCCTAATATTACCCTATCTTGTTTCCTCTTGCTGTATTTACCTCCTGATGTATTACATCTTTATCACTTATTTGTCATCACTGTCTGCTGAGGGCAGAGGTTGGCTCTGCTTGGTCTCTGGTCAGGGCCTGGCATGTAGCCAGAGCAAACACAGGCCCACAGACATCAGTGAAGAGACACAAGGACATCCATGGGATGCTGTAGGCAGAATGCTCTTTTTAAATATCATATCACTCATTCCCCTGCTTAAAACTCCCTAACCCATCAGTAGCTACGAAAATAATTTTTAAATGCATACAATCTATGACCTTCAAAAGCACAATTTCAAAGAGTTCAGGCTGAAATTGTAATACAATTTAATATACAGCAAAAAAGACTTTATATGACTTCCCCCTGCATTTAGAATAAAATCCACCTCCGCCCCCCCTCTGGACAACAGGCCCCAGCATAATCAGTCACTGCTTGGCTCACCTCAACTCTTCCACTTCCAACTCAAAGTCCAGCCACACAAGGCTATTTCCAGCTTTCCCAGTGTAGCCAAGCTCTTTGTTGCCTCTGGGAGCTTGCACATGATATTCCTCATTCCTTGAACACCCTTCCCTCCCTTCTTCCATCTGCCAAACTACTGCTGATTCTTGGTCTTGGCTTCAATGCCAACCCTTCCACAAAGGCTCATTTGACTCCCCTCCCCCTCCCAGCTAAGTCAGTTGCCTCCTCTCTGCTGTCACCTCCCCCTATACCACTCCCATCACAGTTCCAACCCCCTTTGTTATAAATACATTCTTATCCTTCCATGAGGGCTTTGTCTGTCTCCCTCCATGAGGGCTTTGTAAATCCTTGGACTCTCCTCAGCTTATAGAGCCCACCCATCACATGACAGTCATGTGATAAATGTCTGCTGAACATCATACCAGTGGATGGATGAGCAAACCAGAGACACAGGTAGAAAGGGGGTCAGATGGAGAGAGAGAGACTTTGGATATTGCAGTGGGTGAGCACATGGGTTCTGGGTAACAGGTGGGGACTGGCCTTGGCCAGCTGCAGACACTTGGCAAGTTGCTTAATGCCATTATCTGTAAAATAAGTTGGTGATGAATAGGATCCCCAAGAAGATATGTTGAGGGTGGAGAATAGGGCTGGGGTTAGGAGCAGGTTGAGACCTGCAATCCACTAACAGATGGATAAGCGACACCCTTGGACGACAAGGAAAACCCAAAGCACTCACTAATGCAAGCCCAGCTGCTGGCCTGTATGTGGGCCTTGGGGTTAGAGGATATCCTGCCCACCCATCCACCCCCTGACACTCACCGAGACAGTGGAGCTGGGTGTGTTGGTGCCATAGCCAGATGAAGGGAGCGAAGCCAGAGACCAACGGCGTCCGTCCGCCCTGGAACCCAGCCAAGGTGCTCAGAGGACACTAGGTCCCACCAGTCCCTCCCACTTCTCAGGTTGAGAGAGAAGCCAGGACAGGATTTACGGGAGTATATCTATGTGCTCCGAGATTCCTGAAGGCCCCCCAAGTCAGGGAAGTAAGGAGGAAGTCTTTTCAGTCAGATATGAGTCTCCTCTGCTCCTTCCCATGAACTTCCTCTCTTGCCATACTCAGCTCACACTAGCCCCCAGCATGGACCCTCCCCAAGAGAGACCAGAAAAACCCAGTAGAGGAAATCATCCCAGAAGACCCCAAAAGTTGACCCCTAGAGGATGCCCCCATGAGAAAGCTCTCATAGGCAGACCCCTGGAATCTTCCCAGACCCCCACACACTGACGCATATTCTCACATCAGTACACTCAGGTTCACACAAACACAGTTGTTTTCCTGGCCACACCCACTAGTGTTAAAGTGACCAGTGTGGTCAAGTTCATGCACTCACAGTCACACACATGACCGGTACATGGACCCAAGTATCACACTTTCCCACACTAGCACAGAAGGCACTTGCAAAACCAGACATCCAGTCACGTATAGACACAGACACTTGTAAAGACCCAGCACCCTCACTCTAAAACACACACAGCCAACAGCTCCTCACGTACACTCCACACTTTCACATTCACACATTTAGTCAAGACGCCCTCATGTTCTCAGTCACACATTCAAACCCTCACACAGCCACACATTCATTCACACTCCCACATAGAGTACACACATGAGACACACTGGGCGGTGCATACTCCCTCACATACTCACATACATTTACAACCATACAGTTACACACTCACACACATTCATACTCACATGCTGACGCATACACATCCCCATGGACACAGGTGCAGGCACAGGCTGCTTCATATATTCACAACCTCGAAAAATTATACCCCCACACACTGGGGCACAGATTGCACAGCGGCAGGGACACACTCCCACACACTGGACTCCTTCATTCCTCCCTCCAGGCATTGCCATTGCTCAGCCAGCCTGCCTCCCAGCCCACCCTCCATGAAGGTGACCACATCATCAGCCATTTTTCTGGTTCCCTATTGCTCTGAGATGAATTCCATGGACAAGAGGGGGCCCTTCCTGCCCTGGCTGGTGTAGCTCAATGGATTGAGTGCCGGCCTGCAAACCAAAGGGTCCCGGGTTTGATTCCCAGTCAGGAAACATGCCTGGGTTGCTGGCAGGGACCCCAGTGGGGTGTGTGTGAAGGCAAACACACATGGATGCTTCTGCCCCTCTCTGTCTCTTTTCCCTCGCTAAAACGGGGGCCTTCCACCATTCTCCCTAGGGAGCTGTCCCCACAGTCCCCTGTGTCTCCCACAACACGGCCTTCACCCGTCTTTGCAGTGATCCCGGTTCTCTGGCCTGCCACTCCAATTCAACTCTGGGTATACAGGGGTGTCATTCTCCTCTGCACTCAACTCCCAGAGCACAGCATGTGTTCGGACAAGTTCAGAGAAAAAGAGACCTGCCCAAACACGCTGGTGATTCCCAGAAGTTTCTCCCCAAAATATTCAAGGAATCTCTTGGCTTCGTCCAATTTCTCCAAAGTCCCCAGAAAATAAATTTAGACATACTCCAGAAACACACGCAGACATCCTCGCCCTAGAGGGAAACCTGAGATTCCTCCTCTTTGGTCCTCGAGAAATAGCCCTAGGAACCCTCCCCCACTTTGGGGATCCAGAGTCCCTCCTTGGGCAACGCTCAGTCTGCGCTTGCGCACTTCATCTCCACTCCGGTCCTGTTGCTATGGAAACGCCTGGCCAAGAGCGCTAGGCGGGAGACAGACCCAAAGCTTTGAGGCTCTGCGAAGAAGCCCTGCCCCTTCCCCCGGATTCAGCAAAGGCGTTGGCACCGCCTTCTTATAGGCCCCGCCCCTAAGGCTGGGCGCTGGTTACCTCGGGGACATTGGGGCACTCTGCAGAACCCTCAGGCCCTGGCTCAGGTCCAATTAGGAGGGGAACAGATGGCAGCCCAGACGGTGGGTGGGGAGAGTCCGACCAGGGAGGGTTCTGGGGCCCTGCAGACAAGGACTCACCTTCGGGAAGAGGCAAAGGAGAAGTGGGCGGGGGTGTTGGGAGAGAAGTTGCGGGGGCTATCCAGGGGACTGCTACCTGTGGCGGAAAAAGGGGGATCTTTAGGCCTGGGCTGGGGGGCAATCCCATCAGATTTCCTGATTCCCAAAACAGGTTGGAGACAGCAGCCATTCTCTCTTTAGTCCCAAAGTGTGAGTGGGCCACGCCCTCTTCGCTGTGGCCCCGCCCTTCGAAGCTGTTTAGGTCACCTAGTTAGACCAGCCCCTTCAGGACGATTCTGCCTTACTCTGACACAGCCAACGCCCCTCAGGTATGGATCTTTCTTTCTGACCCACCCCTTTACCAATCTCGCTCCGCCCATCAGTAAGTAACCCTCTGCTGGCTGGCCTCGCCCACGTAGCGATAGCCTCGCCCCTTGTCCAATCTGGGCTCTCTACTAACCAGACTCGGCCCACCCCTCCTGCAGCATGGACACACCCCTCTCCTGTGGCGACACCTCCTCTGGTCCACACCCATCACCTGTCTCACCCAGGTGTCCAGGCAGTGGGGAGTGGGGTCGCGGCAGCGTGGGCGAAGTGCTGGTCAGGATGAGGCTTTTCCGGTTACTGGTGCGGCAGCTGCGGGGAAGGGGAGGCAAAGGGGCCGGGCCGCAGCTCAGGCTGGGAGTTTGTGAGCCCAACCAGCCACACTCCTTTTCTGGGAAATGTCCCCAGAAAACCACTACTCAGAGGAGGAGGTAGTAAAGGAGGAGGCAGTGGAGGCCTTGGCAGGACTGTGTATGGGAGGGAATGCAGGTGCGATGTGTATGTGAGAGACTTCTGATATGAACCATGTGGGGCCATGTGGGGCATAGTGTCAGTCACGGAGTGATAGTCATGTTGTCTATGTGACACTATTGGAGGTACTGAGTGTCTGTGTGTCTAGGTCTGTGTGTGACATTTGCTGCATGTATCCACGCATGGCAGGCACCCAGTGTGTGAGTTCAGCACTGGGCATGTACTAGTGTGACATCATGTGACACAATGTGTAATGTCACTGGTGCATGACTAGATGTGCCACTGTGTGCTGTAACATCTGCATGATGTGTGATTTCTACTCTATGTGTGTGTGTCTGTCTTCGTGTAGCATTCTAAGTCTGTATGAGAGACTGTCACTATCTGTGTGTGACATTCACCATGAGGGTCCACAGTGGCATCTACTGTGTGTAGGTTTAACACCCTATGACACTGGGCATGTCTGAACATGCCATCGTGTGTGACATTCCCTGTATGAGTCTTGCATGTGATAATATGTAATACTGTGTGTCTCATTCTCTGCAAGATTCCCAGTGTTTATTTTGACACCCATGTGATGCAGCATGTGAGATGCTTAGGGTGATATCATGTGTTATAACACTGGATGCATGGATGTCATTGCCACATATGTGTCTTGTGCATCTCCAGTTGCATAATCCTGTGTGTCACCATACAGGTAACATCTTATTGGGTGTTTACAAGTGTATACAATAGTGTACCTGTGGGTTTACTTGCTACTGTGTGAGACTGGGGGTGTCCCTGTGTGTCTCTGCAGGTGTTTGACATATGGCCACTGTATGACTAGGTATTTGTGGTGCCTCCCGGGTGTATCTGGGCCACTAGGGCTGGTGTGTGTGTGTGTGTGTGTGTGTGTGTGTGTGTGAGATCATGTCCAACGTGAAGCTGTGTGTCACTGTTTCCCGTATGAGGCTGTGTTGGGGGGCAAGTTTGTGCCATGATAAAAGTACCCCCCCTTCTTTCTGCCCTTCAGGAGCCAACCTTTCGAGGAAAGGGACCCCAGCCCCTCAGTCCCCTCACCCCGCCCTCACCGCAGTGACTGAGCATATTAGCGCGCCCAGAACATGCGGCTTGGGGGTGGGGGAAGGCCAGGCTGCGGCTATTGTTCTGAAAATGCCAAACCCCTACCCTCCCGTTCTTCCTTTACCCTCTCTGAGCTGCCAGAGCCCACAGGGCCAGCAGACAAAGGCACTGCACCCCCTCCCCCGCAGCAACCCCCTCCCCCCGGCAGCGGTTCTTTCCAGGGCGCCCCCCAGTCTCGACTCTACACTGGCCCCCATTCAACCCCATCCCTGGCAGAAAGGTGCAGCGCGGGCACCTCTGGCGCAGCTGGGCCGGGTGCAGCATCCCGAGCCCCGCCCTGCGGTAGCAGCTGGTGGGGCGGCTTGGGTCAGGGTCTGAGGGATCGGGGGTCTACCTCTTGGTGCGGCGGAACATACTGCTGCCAGGGAAGGAGGGCATCGAGAAATTGGAAAGCGCAGTCCAGAGAGAGTCAGACATGACCCGGCGGCGGCGACATGGTGGCAGGTGCGGCAGCAGCGGCGGCGCGGGGAGGGAGCGCGCGGGGTGGAGGCTGGAGCCGCAGCGGGCAGAGAAGGGCGGGGGGGAAGGGAGGGCCGCGCGGCTGCCGCCTGCCAGGAGGGGGCGCAGCGGGACTCCAGCGCGCCAGGCCCCGCCCGCAAGCGCGCCTAGAAGAGGCCCCAACCCGCGGCCGGAGAAGGGGCGTCCAGCTCAGAGCATCTCTCCCCAAGGCTCACCTGCTGCTTTTCCGAGGCAGGGGCAAATCCTTCTGGAAGGCAAAGGAGCAAAAGGATAGAAGTAAAAATAAATAAAATCTTAAAAATAATTTAAATAAAAGGATAGAGGTCAGCATTGGCCAGCAGCCACTGCCCTCAAGTCTTCTCAGGAGAAATTGGATGGCCCAGGCCCCTCATCAGTATTATCACCTGCACCCTTGGCCACGCGCTGAGGACTGTGGGGTAGCGGTGAGGTGTACCAGGTTGATTCCTCCCCCCCACCCCCACCCCGACCCTCAGAGACCAGCACAGGGCCCCATGGAGAACTCCTAAGTTGGTATCTCAATGCATGTATGAGCAAATGAAATAGGAGTTCATTTTAAAAAATATTTGAGCACCTACTGCATGCCAGGCACTGTACTAGGCACTGGAAACACAGCAGTAAATAAGACAAATAGAAAATTCCTGCCCTTTTGGGACTAGCATTTAGAGGATGGAAGGAGACAAGAACAATGTAGGCATGAGCAACATCATTTTAGGCAGTGATAAGTTGTCATGAATAAAATTAAGCAAAGTGATGTGATGAAAATGGCTAGGAGGGGTCACAATGGTCTGAGAGGGCTGCTGGGGGAGGTGCCCTTTAAGATGCTTGATGTAAAGAAGCAGCTTTGGGAGGACCTGTGTAGAAAGCAGTCAAGGTAGAGGAAACTGCAAAGGCTTGGAGTCAGGAATAAACTTGGCATGCTCAAGCATGAAAGGATGAATTAATGAATGATTCCTCCACACTCTGAGAGTTCTATCCCACTCTCCATCAGATCCACAGAGTTGGGGGTGGGAATAGTTAGGTGGCTCAAAACTGAGATTTGAATTGGGAATCAGGCAGTGGCTAGGTGGTCTTTTTTTTTTTAATAATGTCAGTGATAATTGGTAGCCACTAACTTTATGTGTACACATCAGAAGATTGTTGTGTTCCACTTGTCAAACATACAGGTTACTAAATGGACCAGAAATTACACAGGTCTGAACCCTTTTCCAAGAGCGATGGGGAGAGAGGGTGCTGCCTCCCAGCCAGTTCTGAGTCCACAGGCTGATGTGAATAAAGGGGATTGGGTAGGGCTTCAAGATTTTGGGTGAGGGTTTCCTAAGCCCTTTTGTTGAGGACTCCAACCAGGAGAAAATTAATCTTTTTGGGGATCTCTGAAAAGCAGAAAGCCGTGGGTTCAGATCCCAGGTTAGCCTCTTATATCCTTGGCAAATGACCTTGCAATAGTTGTGCCTCCTAGAGATTTCTCTGAGATGATATAGGTGTCTAGCACCTCAGAATCATGCTTAGTACATAGTTAGCATTCAATATTAGGTCATGGGAACAGGAATTATTATGGGTACATTGGGATCAGGAATGGACACATTATGATAGAAGATGGGCCAGAGGGACTTCCCATTCCCACGTACGAAAGACACATGTATGATCAGAGTCAAAGGGCACACTGTCCACCTCAGCAGACCTGCCATCCCGAGCCATTGGGTGACCTAAAATCCATGCCGGGTTTTTCCCTTGTCTTTGCAAGATCAGCTTGAATGAGCGGCCTCTTGGATCAGCCTAGCGGGTCTCGCGACTGCAATGGCCCAAGCAAAATCAAGACCTGGATTTTTCTGGCCACGGAGCCCAGGACTCCAGACAGGGGTACACTTGGTCTTCGAGTGTAAGCCCCTGGGGAACATTTAAGCCCCTGTCGAAGAAGTCCTCAAACCTGGCCCCATCCGGTAGCGCCCTTAAACATACTAAAATCGAACAAAGGGGCAAACTAGAGCGGTAGAGGATTTGGCTCCTTGGCGTCAGTGTAAAAAGACGCCACATCCATCCCCAGCTGCACAGCGGCTGTGCCAAGCGGATGCTACTTCTCCCTAGGATTAATGGACGGCTCTGCAGACAGGGCATCGGAATTTAGGATGCTGTCTATATATACAATCCCAACTGCTCACAGGGAACCCTCAGGCGCACAGCAGTTGTGGGAGGTACAGTTCCTAAACGGTTGCACCAGTGTGAGGGTGTATCTGGGTAGCAAACTGATTAACCCTCCCAGTGGGAAGAGATAGGGGCAAGACTCCGGCACCAATACCTAAGACTAGAGGTAGCCTCCAGACGGACTGGAGGGTGAGTAGGAGGATCCCGGGCTGGGGGTGGGGTCTTGCGAGAGAGGCAGAAATCCCGCGTGGCACTGAGCCAATGGAAATCGGCGTCCACCTGGAGGGCGGGGACACACCCCGTGCAGGCACCGCCCCTTCCCTCCTTTTTCCTGGAGACCCGAGGGCGAGTACCCGTCTGGCTCCTTCAGCATCTGCTCTGGTTTTGCCACAGCTCCTTCCCTCCCTTTTCTCAGAACCCTTCCCCCTAAGTCAGCCCTGGAATGAGGAGGGAATTCGGGGAAGACCTGAGGATCCCAAGGCTCCTAGATGGGGCCATCTAGGCTCTGTTTGATAGCTTTCCAATACAGGTCTAGCTCCAGCATCATCCAGACGCCTGGAAAGTCCTTCCTGCCGTCTCACTCCGATTTTTCCTGCTGCAATGACTGATCAGCTTTCCCTGGTCTCCAACCTCAAGGACGATGGATTAGAGGTGTCCAGAAAAGGACTAGGCTCTGGATGAGGATTTGAATCTTCCCCTTCTTTTCCCAAGCTTCAGGCAAGAGATGTGGGTCCACGTAAGGCTTTATGTAAGCTACTCCAGATTATCTAGCATGGGGCTGAGCTCCAACGAGGCTCAGAAAGGCCAGATCCCAGGCAGGCTGTGGGGTGAGGCTTTGATCAGTTTTCCCTCTGGGGTCAGTTTGGGAGCAACACCAAACCCCTGTATTAATCTTTAGAAGCTCACACCGCAGACAGGAGAAGACCCTTCTCAGCTTCAGAATCCCCACCCATGTTGGAAGTGGGAGTTGCCGACGTCTGGATTTGTCCCTGCCTTCCTATACTCCACAACAATCCTCAGGGTCCCACTCCGTGCAGTGGACTCACACCTCCCGTGGCTGCGCAGCCTGGAGACCAGCATCTTCTAAGGCTGCAAGGAGCTAAAAACCGCTCCCGCCCACCCACAAGCTGCCCTGGACTTGAGGATGGGGGGAGGTGTAGTAAAGCGGGGTGGAATAAAGAGTAGGTGGAATAAAGAGGAGGAAGGCTGTCTAGGTGCCTGTCCAATTAGGTCAGTAGAAAGAATCCTGGATGCCGGACAGGTGCATGGAGGTCGCAGGGGGGTCCTCACACCTCCAGAAGGGTCTCCTGAGGAGGTAGGGGACGAAGCTGCCACACAAACATGTTTATGGCTGTGGCGGCGCTGGCGGCCCCGAAGGGCTGGAGCCCTTGGGCAATAACTTTGCTCTACACCCCCTCATCCCCAGCCTGGCAGAGTGCCAGGGCAATGACTTCGGTCCTAGCCCCCTTCCCCTCGGGCGGGCCAGGCGCTCCTGAGGCTGTCTTCGAGGTGGAGTGCGGCTGTACCCCCTCCTTCAGCTTCCTGGATCCCCGGGCGGCGCCTGAGGGGCGGGGTTCCCAGCGCGGCAGGACGCGCGGCCGCCGAGTTCCCTGCGGGTAGCAACCCCAGGCCCGGAGAGGGGGCGCGGGGGCCCGAACCTGGCGCAAGTTCTCCCGGCCCCAGCTGGGCTCTGCCCCAGGGCACCGACCCCTTCCCCTCTACCAGGGCCGGGGCTACCACCTACCTGCAGCCTCCGGCGGCGGATCAGGCCGGAGTCGTCCATTGCAGCGGTGGCGGCTGCGGCCCGGGGGAGGGAGGAGGGAGGCGACGGCGGCGGGAGGAGGGAAGAGGGAGGGAGGGAGAAGCCGCGGGGATCGCGTGGTGGCCAGGGGGATGAGGGGGGCGGAGCGAAGTGGGGCGGGTCCGGCACCGTCACTGCGTCTGGGCACCCAGCCGCCCCGGCCGAGGTTCCCCGCCCTGGGAGGTGGGGGAGGTAGGGAGGGGGAAGGGAGGGGCCTTTAGATAACCCGAGACTGCCCAGCTACGGAGAGACCCTGTAAGGAGACACCCCCGGGGAGAGACATGCCCCGCGAAACACCTCGAGACATTCTCACCGAGATGCATTCCCCATGCGACGCCCCCAGCGACCCTCTCAGGAAGACACATTCCCCCGGGGACAGTCTCCACGCGAGGCCCTTTCCAACCAGACCCTCCCCTCACCCTGAAAATGATTCCTAAGACAGATGGTCTGTACGAGGCGGCACCGCCTCTAAAAGCCCCCTCCCTCAGAAAGAAACATTTCCGCATAGAAAAATCTCCATGGGTGACATTTCACGTGGAGAGCCTAGTGAGGACATCCCCAGTGAAAGACCCCCTACATGCTGTATTCTCTGTGGGAAATTGTTCCCACCCACAAGACCCCCACATCCCAAGGAGAGACATTTAGAGTGACATGTTCACCCAAAGACCGGTCCTCACGGGAGATGCCCCTCAGGAAAACATTTACATCCATGTGCCGCCCTCTTTCCCAAGCAGAGCCCTGCAGCCCCTCCACTGACCCCTCCCTTACCGCCAGGATTAAGGAGACAGGCCAGACCCAGCTATATTTATAGGAGCGATGAGCAGGTCTTTGGGGAGGGGGACAGCTGAAGCGACTTTCAGTCCACCCTCCCCTCCGCAGTGTTCCCACAGTTGAGGCCAAACCGACCAGAGTTAGAGAGCAAAGTGTTGGAGGGCTCCCCACCCTGACTCCAGTCATTGGAAGACAGGGTAGAAGGGGCTTCCCAAAAGATACAGCCCTTAACTGGCCCGAAAGCCGTGGGAGGCGCGTCACTAGACCGGAGCGACCCCTGCCTGTCAAGGAAGGCAAACGCGAGGTCTTGGTCTGCGTGTTCCCCGCACGCCAGACTCCTCATCTCTACGACTTTGCCTAAATTATTGTTTGTCTCTGTCGGCATGTTTGGGTTGCCGTCTCCTGGAGTCCGTGTCTCATACTTCGGTGTCCAAGGGCCAGATTCCGCTGGTGTCGGCCCTTTTCACTCCGGCCTTCGTGAGAGCTCTCCGTGGTGCTGATCTCACGAGCTCCTGTCCACGGTGCTGAAATATATGCTCAGGGAAGGGGTCTGAGGTCAGGGGAGGGGAATGGCTGGAGGAAGGCAGACCACAGCATGGGGAGATATGACCTACGAGCACCCTGGGCTACCCCAAGACGGGCCGAGGGAAGGCTAAGTCCGTCGGGTCTTGATTGCTGATGTCTCCAAGACATCAATGGGTGCCCAAGGGGGGCCCCCGAGACAGTGCTTGCAATCGGTTCATTTACTTGACTTGTATTGAGCACCTACTGTGGGCAAATCAGTGTTTTGGGACCTAGGACTACAGCAGTAAAATAGACAAAAACTCTGCACTAGCCAGAGAAGGGAAGGATTTGTGGTAGTGGTCATCACCCACAAAAACACATATGCACAAAAACATATCTATGAGGACAGGCGCACACATGTACACATACACTCTGCAAACACACACACACAAACACAAAATACAAACACATGCTCACCAGACTCATGTACTCATAGCTACACACTCAGCAAACATATTTCACAAACACACACTGCAAATACACACACCAATACTCAGCAGATACACACAAACTCACATTCTGCAAATACGTACTTAGAAAATGTAAACATACCCATATACAGTAAGTACACACACAACACATACACTCAATAAAGCGCACACACACACACAGTCCCAAAACCAAAGGAAGCTCAGCTACACACAAATTCTGACCCAGCATGCAGACACACCGCCCTCCCAAAACAAAACATGGACACACACACACACACACACACACCCCAACCACAGGGCTGTTTTTCTTACCAGGCTCTACTAAAATGTCAGGTCTATAAAGATTGAGATTTTCACATCTTGGTCGCTACTACATCCCCAGAATCTGACACACAGCAGGTGCTCAATAAATATTTGTTGAATGAATGAATGAATGGAGGAAATGTTTTCAAGGTACACACAAGAAACTACAAAGGGACACACACACATATTTCAGATGCAGACACATCCTTTGTACCCATGGCAATGCCCCCTTGTTCACTCATAGTAAACATTTATGGTCAACAACCTTTATGGACTGACTTTATCTGCTCACTGGTCCAACATTTTCACAGTACACACACTCTAACACGATCCTCCTCTCCCCTCCCCTCCATTTATTACCTGATTTGTACTCAACTGGATGTACTTGGCTTGGGGCATAAACAGTCCTGCTTATCCAGATTTTGAACACACACACAATCACACAAGAGACACATATAAACTACACACAACAAACACACTCAACACACTGCCACACAAACACTTCACCCAGCACACACACGCACTTCCCACACATATAGATCCAGAGTTTTAGCCACAACCTCAACATAAAAGCAAACACAAGGATGTATGTATTCACACTGGTCCAGGTTCTCCAGCCTTTGGTCAGCTGAACAGGGGGCGGGGTACTGGGAAACACCTCCCTTGCACCAAACCACGCCCCTTTCCTCAGACCCAGTTTCCTGGACTTAACCTTGAAGTGTCTCAGCAGCGCCCTCGACCCCAGTGCGGCTAAGCGGTGAGAGGTGGCCCCAAGGGGGCATAGGAGGGTAGGGAATCATTTTGTCTCCACAGACTCTCAGTTTCCTCCGACCTGGGGTTTTTGGACCCCAGCGGCAGAACCCAACTCCTGCCACAGCCAAGCTTGGCTCGGAAGGCCCGGCCCTGGTTGGCAGCCCCTAAGCTGATTGTAGGCTGAGAGAAGGTGACCATGAGAGGGGGCCCCGAGGACTGGGGGATTGAGAAGGAGGGAGACTGGTCAGAAGATTTGGAGGAATTACTGGACAAAAGAGGGACATTGAAAGAGCTGGAGATGCCCCCTTAATTTTGAGGACAGAGGGGGTCGCCTGAAGGCTGAATAGGTTGAGAGGTCCTGTTGGATGTGAGGGGGGAGGGGCAGCATGGTCAAACTGGGAGGCACATAGACCTGAAGAGATGGAGGGGACACCATTCTTTGGCGGGGGGAGATACTGGGTCAGAGACAGGCCTTGGTGGCACCCTGGAATTTTAAGGTCTTTGGCCAGTGCCTCCTCCTCAACTGCTCATTCTCTGTTCCGCCTGGCACCATCTCCTGGGTGTGCATCAAGAGTACCACCCTGAGTTCCCAGAAGAGAATGGCCAAACTCATCCCGTAACCCAGTTGACTCTTATCTCAGGTGGACATGGCTTGCAGGGGCTGTACTCGACCCAGGGGCCTGGTCTGGGCCCTGCAACTGACCCTGGCATGGATCCTGCTAAGGGCCTGTGGAGGGAGCCATTCACTCCCCATTAGGTCCCAGAGACACCATAGGCTGGTGGCTGATCTGGGCACAGGCCAGCTGCACCTAGCAGGTGAGCACTTCAGGCCCAGCCTAACCCCAACACCCTAGAACTCACACTGCAACCTAGCAATGCCAGAATCTTCTTGTGACAGGGGCTTAGGGTGACCAGGTTAGGCAGCCTGGACTAGCTGAAGACTGGTTAGAAAGCACAGGCTCTGTAGTGAGGCTGCCTGGGTTCAAATCCCAGCTCTGCCACTGTGTAGCTGGGTGCCACTGGGCAAGTCACTTAATCTCTATCGGTCTCACGTGGGTCATTAATAAGTAGAATAGACCTACCACATGGGGGTGTTGTAAAGGGGTTTATGCAAGCATTTGAGAACTTATAACACTATCAGCAATATAAAAATAACTAGCTGATTAAGATAAATGATTATTATTGCTTGAAGCTGTATTGCACCTCAAGCAGTCTTTAAGTTTTATGATTGGGAGGAATTACATAAATAGGGTCAACCCTACCTGAGGATCCAAGACCCCAAGTAAAAGGAGTTCCCTTCTCCATTACCCTGTTTGTTGTTCCTCAGAGGTGGACACACCAGAGGCACTGGACCCTGGAATCTTCTCAGAGGGCTGTGGGGAGCCCAGCCCTGGGTGAGTACAGCCCCCCGCCCCCTCCTTGTGTATTTCCTTGGGCTTTTGCTTGTTTCCCCAGCTAGGGGTCAGGGGATCAGAGGCTCCTCACATCTTGACCCATCGAACCTGTCTTTCCCAATGTCCAGGTGCAAATCCTTCCTGGAACACCTCCAAGTTGCCCTCCGCAGTCGTTTCCGCTTCCAGCTATTGGGGATACACCAGACACAGTCGCTCTGCGCGGAGCTCTGCCATGTCTGGTAGGAGAGGCGGGGTGTGAGGCGAGTGGCCTGTCTCCACAGGGTGCAGGGCAGAAGGTGGGATCTGCAGCTTGCAGGTCCTAGTGTTTGAAGGGGCACGGCCTGGCTCCAACTGTGGCCAAGTTCTAAAGGCTGAGGCCTAGTGTTTAGAGGTTAGGCAGAAAGGGGTGGAGCTTGCAGAGTTCCTGGCTTTGAAAGTTGGCAACTCCTTCGAGTGGCCTCCGTTGGACTTGGTTCTTAAACAAAGGGATGGGGCCTCTTTCTTGAAAAGAGAAGCTGAAAGGGTTGAGTCTTTTAAGGGGCTGGCCTAGAACAGAAGGTCTGTGGTGGGCAGGGATGGGGCCAGTGGTGACAGAGCCCTGGGTATGTGTGGTGAATATGGGGTGGGGTGAAATCTGGAGGGTGGTGTTTGCACCAATGAGGGCCTAAGCGTTGGTACCTGCATGGGAGAGGAGCATACACTGCACGGATCCTCGGAGAGGAAGAATCCCACTGGAACAAAACTGCAGAGCCTTTACCCACCTTCTTTTCTGTACACACCGGCCCCAGGTTTGCCACCTGTAAGAGTGATATCACCTGTGGCCCGACTTGGCTGCCACTCCTAGAAAAGAGAGACTGCAACCTTGATTGCAGAACCTATGGCCAGGTGAGCATGGAACAGGGCACTGGGAAGAGGCTGAAACCTCCCCTTAGTATGTGCTATCTTAAACCGCCTAGGCCCCAGAGTTTGGCCTGGCATTCTCAAGTCCCCACCCTTCCCCCTTCTACAGCCCAACCTCCCCCAGTGAAATACATACGCATGTATGGATGCAGCCCCCCTAATGTCCACAGTTAGATTTTGCCCTTCCCAAGGGACTGTCTCTGTTCTAGGCCCACCCACAGTCTGAAGACCCAGAGGCCCAAGTCACCTTCCCCAAAGCCCCAGTCCCTTGGGAACCAGTAAGAACTAACTATTTGCCTTCCCCAAGCCCCACCGCCCCCCCCCCACTAGGGCCCCTCCCCTAGACTCCCAGGAGGACCCAGAGGCTGGAATTGCCTGCCCCAAGAGTGCCCCTCTGGCCCCTACCATCAATGGAACTTGGGGGCCTTTCTCTTCCTAAGGACAAGGTTCTGAGAAACTGCTCTCTGCCTGCACCGGAGGGCCACATCCCCAAGGTATCTGCACTCCCCCCACTAACTTCACCTCTTCTCCCAGACCTTCACTGACGGAGTGGACCTTTGCCACTCGGTTCTTGGCTTTGCGCTGCCGGTGGCTGTTCCTGGCGCTGGTCACTGCCTCAACATTTCCATCTCAGTGCTTCCGCATCCCAGACAGGGACGGAGGGCTCGGGAAACCACCTTCCTGCCCTCCAGCCACCCTCGCACCTGGATTGGGGAGGCTACAGGCAGCGGGAGTGGCAGTGGAAGTGGCAGTGGCCCCTAGGGACACTGCGCTTAGATGGGAGATGGATCCCTGTACCCCCACCCCCCTACCCGGCTGGCCCCTCTAGACACTCAGAACTCTACCCTCTCTCCCTCTCAGCCCTGTCCCTCCTCCCTGGAGCCCCAGGCTCCAGATTATTAGAAAAACAAGACAACTCTAGCTCATTTCCCCCTTCCCTCCACCCTGGAATAAAGTCATCTACTAGAGCAAATGATGTGGCAACTTCTTGGGGAAGTAGGTGGGAAAGATGGTCACCAGAGTGATAGGTGTCTCACTTCTAATCTGCAGGTCCTAGAGTTAGCGCCTACACTATTCAATAGTGTAGGTGTGAATGCTGGTGGCCTGTACTCTGGAGCATTTGTCTCAGTAACTTGGAGCATTCAGGTGTCAGAAAAGGGGGTGGGGGGCAGTCAGAAGAAGGGCTGATGACCAGGGCACGTGTGCTCCCACTGTGTGCCACCAAGAAGAAGCTCCCTGACACAAGAGAAACCCCCTTCCTCCCTCCCCATTCTCCCAAATCCCTAAGGCAAAGGTCTGGACTGAAACTCAGGATTTGGGTTGTAAGCACTATTCCTAATTCTTCTCCTCATCTGGAAAACACAGGGTTTTGTGTGTGTGTGTTTTTTTTTTAAAGATTTTTATTTATTTTTTAAGAGAGAGGGGTAGGGAGGGAGAAAGAGAGGGAAAGAAACATTGATCAGTTGTCTGGGGACCTGGCCTGCAATCCAGGCATGTGCCCTGACCGGGAATTAAACCAGCGACCCTTCAGTTCGCAGGCTGGTGCTCAATCCACTAAGCCACACCAGCCAGGGCAAGGCAAGATTTCTTCTAGTTCAATAGAGCAAGACTGATGGACGCCTCCTGTGTCCAGGCGCTACTGAAACGGACCAGGTTCATTCCCTGCCCTCAGTGCTCACTTATATTGCTGATGGGTGTGCCCATTGGGTGCCAGCCTTCAAGGAGGGAAATTTGAAAATATCTCTTCTCCAAGTTATAAACACACAGATTCTCTAACCTAGCAAACCCACCTCTTGGAATTTATCCTACAAAGCTGTATACAAGAAATAGTGAATTATCACCACCATTCCCTATTACAGAGATTTAACAGCAAGCTGAGTGATTACTCAGTGTTTATAAAGAGGTGTTAAACTACAGAACAGTCTGTCATGCAGAGCTCTTCAGCTACAAAGCAAATAAAGTCTTTAGATACCCATTGGGAATTACCTCTAAGATATATGTGGTGCAAAGAGTAATGTGCGCTATCTAGAATATAATTTGTTTCCACTTGTGTAAAAAATGAAATTGCAGCCCTGGCTAGTGTGGCTCAGTTGGTTGAACATTGTCCAATAAAGCAAAAGGTTGCCAGTTCGATTCCCGGTCAGAGCACATGCCTAGGTTGTGGGGCAGCCCCCAGGTGGGGCATGATTGATGTTTTTCTCTCACATCGATGTTTCTCCCCCTCTTTCTCCCTCCTTCCCGCACTCTCTATAAATTAAAAAAAAAATAGAGAAATTTCAGAAGACAATGTATCTGTTCACACATGTTTGTAACAGGTTATCTCTGGAAGGCTGTAGAAGGCACCTGCTATGGTCTGAATGTTGGTGTCCCTCCAAGTTCCCATGTTGAAATCCTGACCCCAAAGACGACGGTATTAGGGGGTACAACATTCAGTACGTGCCTAGGTCATGAGTGTGGAGCCCTCAAGAATGGAATTAGTATTAGTGGGGGGAAGGGGTATAAGGGGACCAAAAGATAATGTAAAAGTACAATAAAAAGTGTAAAAAAGAAAAGGAATGGAATTAGTGTCCTTATAAAAAGGACCCCACAGAGATCCCTCACCCTGTCCCTGATGTGAGGACACAGTGAGAAGTCAGCAGTCTGCAACCCAGAAGAGAGCCCTCACCAGAACACGACCATGCTGATACTATGACCTTGGACTTTCAGCCTCCAGAATTTTAATGAATGTTGGGTGTTTTCTTTTTAAGATTTTGTTTATTTTTATTTTTTAAGATTTTAATTTATTTATTTATTTTTAGACAGAGGGGAAGGAAGGGAGGAAGAGAGGGACAGAAACATCAATGTGTGGTTGCCTCTTCTGTGCCCCACACTGGGGACCTGGCCCACAACCCAGGCATGTGCCCTCAACAGGATTGGAACTGGTGACCTTTGGTTCTCAGGCCAGAACTCAATCCACTGAGCCATTCCAGCCAGGGCCAGATTTTGTTTATTTTTAGAGAGAGGGGAGGGGAAGGAGAAAAAAGTGAGCGAGAGAAACATAGATTGGTTGCCTCTTGCATGCCCCCCACTGCGGACCTGGCCCACAACCCAGGCATGTGCCCTGACCTGGAATTGGGAATCAAACAGGTGAGCTTTTGGTTTGCAGGCTGCTGCTCAATCCACTGAGCCACATCATCCAAGGAAATGTCCGTTGTTAATACACCATCCAGCCCTGGCTAGGTAGATCAGTTGGTTGGAGCACTGTTCCATATACCAAAAGCTTGAGGGTTCAATTCTTGGTCAGGGCACATACCTAGGTTGCAGGTTCAATCCCCAGTTGCGGCACGTATTGAAGGCAACTGATTGATGTTTCTCACATCAATGTTTCTTTCTTTCTCTCTCTCTCTCCCCGCCCCCTTCCCTTCCTCTCTCTCCAAAATCAATAAAGATATCCTCAGGTGAGGATAAAAAAAAAACCTAAGCTATCCAGTCTGTGGTGTATTGTTACTGCAGCCCAAAACAGACTGAGTAAGCCCCCCAGTGGGCTGGGGCAGGGTGCTTCTCAGTATGGTCCTTCTTAATTCTGTATCATACAAACATAGATATTAAAATAAAATCAATCAAACACTGCCCATCTTGTTTAGGGTGCAAAACTCTGTAGCTGGATCCAGCCACAGAGCACACCCCCACCCCATTCCATCCCACAGTACAACCCTCACGCTTGGTTTTCCTTAAGCAATTTTAATCACAAGCTGGGGGGATGGTAAAAGGGGTACAGGCTGACTCCTAGAGACTGGTGGCTGACTCTAGGCCACGGTCCTGGAAGTACCGGTGGGATAGGCGTGGGCGGTTTCGAGGGCTTTCCCTGAAATAGGATGTGATCCTCCCTAGTCCCTCCTGATCCCCTGTCGACAAGTCCTCCCTGTGGATGAGAGATGATAACCCTGACCATCTTTGTGGGGGACAGGGGCGGCCCTCCCAGGCAGGGCTAAGCCCTAGCCTCCCTCCCTCCTTACAGCACCTCTGGGATACCCACCACATAACGTCTTCTGCTTCCTTCTCCAGGATGCTCTGGGCTGTGCGCCAACTGAACCGGACAAACTGGGGAAAGCCGAACACGGGCTCCACATGCTTTCTCAACCATGCTTTTGTCTTAGGATCTAGGGGAGGGGCGGGTGGGCAATGGTGACAGCCATACCGTCCCAGCTCCTCAGACCGCCATCTGAAGCCGTACCACCTCATCTCAGGCCTCCTCTGGAGTACCTAAGGCACCTCCCACTGTCTGAGACATCTTCCTGCTCAGGACCCTTGCACGTGCAGTTCCCCCTCCGACTCTTCCCCTGGCCAACAGTTTGCTCAAGATACTACTTAAAAAGACTGCCTCTAAGACACCTCTCTTACTCCCTAAGGACAAGAGTCATTAAACCAGCATGGGTGGACTTTAAGGTTAATGTCCATCTTCCCCCGTTAACCATGAGCTCAGTGGATAGGGAGATCCTTGTTTGTCTTGCTCACAGATATGTCCCCAGGGCTTGGCCCTGCATGGTGTCTACCAGGCACTCAGTAAGCACTGAATGCTGGCCAAACTGTTTTTGGCCTGGACCTGGTTTCTTCACTTTGGCCTTACCCAATTCCAACCACAGACTGTGTCGTCCCACCCACCTGCCAATCTTCCTGGGTCTTAGAAGGACCAGGGGGTTCCTTGAACCCAATCACCAAATCTTTGAATCTGCCCTTGTGTGTGTGTTGAGGGAAGCACAATCACTTCTACTTCACAAAAGGAAACTGAGCCTCATCACAGGGAGAAAACCGAAAGATGTGAGCTGGGGCCACTGGACACAAGTTGGTGCCGCTCACTTTGTCCTCTTTCCCTTAACAAATGCGCAGGCATCCACCATGGGTCTCAATCCCTCACTGGGGCTCCAGAGACAGCAGAGAGGGTGGGAGGGAGAAGGGAGAAAGGAGCCTGCTAGCCGGAAACCAGCTCTGCCACACACTGGCCATGAGCAAGTGGCCCCAAGTGGGCCTCAGCCTCCTCCACTATGGAGCAGGGCAAACAGAACCACTCTCAGGCCTGCCTTGCCACAGTTATCATCAGCATCACTACCTCAGGGCAGCTCCCAAAGCAGTCTGACCACCATTTGCTCACCATTGGGGTAGCCTGAGCCATAATCAGTGTCCAGATCCTTTAGTTTTTCCACAAATTTCCAGTTCTTCACGGCCTGGTCTCTGGCCACCTATGGGTAAGATAGGCACTTGGGACCTCCTTCCCTCAAGGCAGCCACATCCTTGCCCTGGGGGATGCTGGGAGCCAGTCATGGACAGCAAGGGGGCTGACCTTGGCACAGATGCTGGCAGCACTGACCACGGGGTAGAGGGCATCTGCCTTGGCCTTGACTGTCACCTCAATGCTGGGAAAGCGTTGCTGCAGCCGCTCCTGGTATGTCTCTGGCAGTCCCACAGTGTCCACAAATACCTGTAGCAGTGACAGAAATGTATTCATTCAACAAACATTGGGATAAACAACTGTGAAAACGATCCAGCCTCATAGCCTTTGCCCACTGCTTGGAATGCTCTTCTCTTAGCTTGTCCCAGGCTGCATCTTTCTCCGGTGGTCTCAGCTCATGCATCACCTCCCAAAGAGGCTTTTCCTGATTAGGCTACACCCACTGTACATTTTACTGAGCACCTACTGCATGCCATGGGCTGCACTTAATACTGGTACCTACGCAGTGAACACAACAGACAAAAATCCATGTTCTCATGGAGGGAACACCCTGGTAAGGGCTATAGACAAGAAACAAGGAAAATAATAAAGGATAGGAGAGAGTTGGAAGAAGCTGTCACTTTTAAAGTTGTTATTGATAATTTTTTTGAGAGAAACATCAATTTGTTATTCCACTTATTTATGCATTTATTGGTTCCTTTTTGTTTGTGCCATGACTGCAGATCAAACCCAAAACCTTGACATATCAGGACAATGCTCTAATCAACTGAACTATTCCTGGCCAGGGCCTAGAGGAGGTTGGCATTTTAAACAGAGGTGAGTGGTTCAGGGAATGTCACCCTGAGGTGATGGCATTGGAATAAAAGCCTGAGAGAGATGAGGGAATGAATGAGCCATGTGGATGGAGATCTGGGAAAGTGTTTGAGGAAGAGGAAATGGCCAGTGCTAAGGCTCTGAGGTGGGACCGTGTCCAGTATGCTGTATAGGAGTAGGAAGCCCCCGTGACTGGAGCAGAGAGAAGGTCAGGGAGGTAAGTGATCTCCACAGTAGTTACTGTTTTCAGAAATCACCTTTATTATTTGCTTACCAGCTGAACATCCATCTACGTGACTTGGTCATGAACTCAAAGGTAGGGTCCTTGTTCCAGTACCGTATTGTCAGCTCCACATTCCAGTTCTGAATCTCAGCCACCTCCTCAGTAAGGCCTCCCTTATTCCATTCCCTACCTCAAGTGTATCTGCCCTTGTCATTTTCTCAAAACAGCTGGTTCTTTGCCTCTGAACATTTGATACCATGCTTACTTATATTTCTCTCCAGTAATTTAATCTCATTCTCCTCCCCGACTGTGAATTTTCCCGACTTAATTAATTTCTATGGTGATCAGAAAATCAAAATGTTTAGGTTTACATTTTGAAAAAATGACAGTCAGCTGCTGCTATATTGGGAGATTATAGGGGAGGACACTGAAGAAGATGAGGCAGATGTCCAGGACCAGAGGGTGCCCTGCACTAGGACAGGTGGACAGATGTGGGATTTGTTCTGGACACTGAGCCTTTAGATATGGGTGGGGCTGGGGGCCCCACCATGGTCCTCAGTGGGGCACATATTTAGGGTAGGAAAAGCAGCAGAAAGTCAACAGCAGCAACAAATATTCCTGAGGTACTTACTACAGATATGTCTGATGCTGAGTTGCCCCCTGCACTCATACCCCACATTATCCTGAGGTGATCAAATGGAGCAACACAACAATTAGCTCACCTGAGCAACTTTCACACCCTGGTCCAACGCAAACTGAACCAGCCCAGTGGCTGTATCATGGGACAGAGAGTTCAGGTTGTATTTGACCCTGGAGTGGGGGACAGAGCCCAGTCAACCTCATTCCAGCCATTGATCCCTTCCAGCCCAGTTTGGCTGCCCCTCCATCCTGGCCCCTCCCAGGGACCCCTCACCGCCCAAGCATGCTGGTAGAGATGAGATTTGGAGACAGCACGTCCAGTGCCCAGCCCACAAAGTCCCCATCCTCCTCCATTTTCGCAAAAAGCCTGTCCCGCTCGCTCTCCGTCAGGGTCTTTGAGTCTGAGAGAAGGGTTGGAAGAGAAGGAGAGTGGCTGGGTATCCCAGTTCCTGTTCCCTCCCTCCAGTGTAGACCCGCCCCTACACATACCCAGGAACCTCCTTCCCAGACATACACCAAAGGCTCACCTGCCACTTTCAGGGCCTCCAGATCTGCCAAGCGTGATAGAGGACAATAACAAATGGCATAGACCATGGGGCCTGCGGAAATGGGGGGTCCAACTAGTGAACCCATGAAAGTCGCCACCCCGATTTCACCATCACATTTTCCGGCGCCATCACTAATGTCATGGCTATCACCACTATCACCCCCCCACACCGAATCCAGTGCAATTCCGGCTCCCATTCCAGTGTAATTTGCAACCCCCTTATCACGTCCCTCCTTCACCCCGGCCCTTGGGGCGCACCCAGCACCGGGCCCCGGCCCGCTTCATCGACACCCAGGACGCACGGCTCCTTGCGACACACTGAGGGCACAGGTGAGTTCAGACGACAGCGCCCTGTATTGTCTCTCTCCAGTTTTCCGAGATCCATGCCGTCCCAGTTGCCGCCACCAGCTGCAGGAACTAGGTGCGGAAGCTCAGATCAGGACGCGTTTACCGCGGGCCCAGCCAATCAGCGCATAGGACACGCCCCCAACGCTCCCACCGCCGTCGACGTTTGCGAAGGCAAAGCCTACGCCACTGCCGTGCTGCTTCCTGGGAATCGTAGTTCCGGAGGTGGACCGCAGAGTTCTGAGTTTGGAAAACTAGGTGGAAAGGGTCACTTTCGAAGCTCAGCCCCAAGGTTTCAGATCTCCGGACTCAGCTCTCTCCTTCCGCTTACCACCCTTAAACCCCAGATTTAGGGTCCCAGCTCTCCCTTCCAGGTTTCCACCTAATCTGCGCCCCCCATTGTCCTTTTGTTGCTGCCCACCCTGGGGAGTTGCCAGACAGACCACTCCGGCCTGCCTTCTCTGTGCCTGTCTCTCACCCACACTCAGGGCCTCCAGTCGCAGTCGATCGGCTTGCAGGATGAACAGTCCCGTTGCCTGCAGGGCCGCACCTGCACCAGGTTCTCGCGGTCCATGAACACTGGGCCCGGCGCTGTGCCCAGCACCTCACGGCTGCGCTCCTGCTTGCCCAGGTCGCAAAGACAGCGCCACTTTCCCCACGGGCCAAGGATCGAGTCCTCCGCGTCTAGAGATGTGGAAGGGCCAGGTTGGGGGCGAGGCACCTACCCCCAGGCCCTCCTCTAGAGAGAGAGGAAGCTAAAGACACTACAGCAACAGCTCAGGTTTGCAGCGCTGTGCCTCTGTGCCAGGAACCCTGCCGTAATGGATCTCATTTAGTTTTCCCATTTGTCGTAGGTGGAGAAACTGAGACCTAGAAAGAGCAAGCCATTCTTCTGAGCTCACACATCTGGTGAGTGACCCAGAGGGACTGGAAATTGACACTTCCCACCTGTGCCAGTTGGGACTGTAGTACAACACACTTGGTGCCCACACTCAGAAGCTGACTCCCGTCTTCAGGGATATAATTCTAAGCCTTTCCAGCGAGCACCGTGCCACCTGACCAGCGGGTCTGTCAGGTGGTAAATTAAATGACATAATTACCATAATATAGATACTTAAAGCCCCTGCACTGTGCTAGCTCTTAGAACAAACACAATGAGTATGGTCGCTCTTAAAACAACTACAACTTACTGAGCGCTTAACCATTCCCCTTTACAGGGTTCTTTTTCTGACTTTCCCCTAGCATCTACAAGACAAGCTCTAACTCGCCAAGCCTCCTAACAGTGGCTTAACAGTGGCATCACATAACAGTGGCATCTTTCCATTCTTCTGTCAGTCTTTTTGGCCTTGTCATATGCTGTTCCCGCTCCCTGGCAACACTCTTTCCCCCAAATCTTGGCGTTTTTTAAATTTTCTTCTCATGCCAGCTGCATTGGTTGCCTATCTTCTTCAGCCAGGCTTCTTCTCAGACTTCAGAAGTTGACCTGCCGCCTTCTTTATCTCCGCCCTTCCCATCACTTACCCATGTCTTTATGGATGTGTCTGCTTGGGTCCTGCTCACACCCCCTCTCCCTGTGTAAGATGCTTAAAGGCACTCTATTTCAATTTACGAATGAGAAAACTGAGCCTCAGAAAAAAAATGGCCAGTCCAGCGGAGGCCGCCAGTGCTGAGCTGGGCGGAGATCTGAGGTTTGTGGAGGAGAATCTGTTTGCAGCCACCTGACAAAGTGGAGCAAGGGGGCATCTTTCCGCACCGTCACACCCGCAGCCTGCGGTTACCTTTCCCCTGAAGCTGCAGCCGTAACTGCTCCCAGGTGTCTCCTTCTCCCTGATCGCCAAAGTAATGGTAGTCGGGGGAGACCTGGACAGGCGTTGTCAGCAGCAGGAATATCAGAGGCGACAGCAGTAGCGCAGCTGGGCTCCGGGCCATGCCGGACTCCAACCGCCCCGGCCACGCTCCGGGTCCGAGCCCCGCGAGGGGTCTGTGGGGCCCTCACTACCCTCGCGGGTGGACGCAGTGGGCGCAGCCCGCGGCTACGCGTCTACCCCCGCCGCAGACCCCGCCTGCTCCGCTCCCCCTCCACTAGATTGGCAGTGGACCCGACCGCTCCTCTCGTCACCACCCCTGGCCCTTAGCGTCATGGTTCGTGCCGCGCATAAAAGGCTCTGCTGTCCTGGGAGCACTTGTCTCGGAGAACGCGAATCAGCTAGTCTGCTACTCTGTGTGTCCCACCCTTCCCCACGCAGGTAGGGACACCTGGGGCGCATCCCTGGGGGAAAGCCCCCTTGGAGCCTCTCCGGCCCTCTCCAGTCTTCAGCGCTGGCTGCCTTTGTTTTTCACCCGGCGTGGTGGCCGCCTTTGTCTTTGGGGATGGGGTGGGGAAATCGAGGCCAGGGCCTTGGCGAGCTTCCCGTCCCCTGCTTGCTGGAGTTTTCTCCCCCGGTGGTGAGCCCGCATCACCGCACGCTACTGGAAAGCTTGGCGGCTGCAGCTGAACCTCTCTGGTTGGCAGGGGACGTGGGGGGGGCGGGTCTCCCGTGGTCCAAAAGCCCCGCAGAGTCGGTACCAAGGAGAGTTCTAGACTATGAGGAAGCCTCAGCCTCTCTGACTCAGTCACCGGGCTCAGCACGCAGGGTGACCTTCAGAAGCGAGGACAAAGGGTCTTTCGCGGGCACACTGACCGAGCGGTGGGGGCGGAGGGGGGTCTCAGCTTTCAGTCATGGCCTCCGGAAACGCTCACATCGGAAAGCCCGCCCCGGACTTCCAGGCTACCGCCGTAGTGGATGGCGCCTTCAAGGAGGTGAAGCTTTCAGACTACAGAGGTGAGGGCGGCCTGGAGGGGCCCAGGAGAGGCGGAGCCCTGGCTTCGGAGGGGCTAGGCCCTCACTTCTCTATTACTGCCCCTCCAGGCAAATATGTGGTCCTCTTTTTCTACCCTTTGGACTTCACTTTTGTGTGCCCCACGGAGATCATCGCTTTCAGCGAGCATGCCGAGGACTTCCGCAAGTTGGGCTGCGAGGTGCTGGGGGTCTCTGTTGACTCGCAGTTCACCCACCTGGCTTGGTATGAGTGGGAACCTGTAGGGAGGGATGGTGCAGTCAAACCTACACCTCTGCAAGGTCCAAGCCGTGTGTTCCAGTTGCTGTCGCTCAACCTCTGCACCTCCCTTTCCCATCTTGAAAATAATGGATATAATGACGCCCAGGTCCTTAATGATGATGACGACAGTAATTAGCATGTGGAATTTAGTTAATTGGTGTGGAGTTACAAACACTTTATCTCACTTAAGGCAAAGCAGCCTCCCTTCCGAGAACTATTTCAAGAAGGTGGCAACTCCAGTTGAAGGGTATGAAGGGCTGGTCCCTAGGTCACAGCTAGAGAGGAAGGAGGTTGGGGGCTGTGTCCTAAGATGTCGCAGACCACAGCAAATTTGAAAACACTTTATTGGAACGAGAGCATTAGCTTAGTCTTCCCAGCTGTGGAAACAGCCCCCTGCACCCATTTCAGGGTGGGGTGGGTGGGACTCCCAGGGCCTTGCTCTAAAGCCCCTTATCTCTCTCCTCCAGCAACCCCTCTCCAGCCTTTATCACACCCAGGTCCACAGGGTGAGGACCCTGCTGTGCCAGGCATTCTGAGGTCCCAGTCCTGTCTCTCCCACCCCCAGGATTAACACCCCCCGGAAGGAGGGAGGCTTGGGCCTTCTGAATATCCCCCTGCTGTCTGATGTAACCAGAAGCTTGTCCCATGATTATGGCGTGCTGAAGAAAGATGAGGGGATTGCCTACAGGTACTGTGGGGTGCTCAGGGGTCCCTCATCCTCAGGGTGAGGGGACCACTTTTGGGTGATGCCCTCCCTGCCCCAAGCCTGTGGCTGGCAGGGAGATGATGCTCCCTCCCCTGGCCCTGCCAGTGGGAGCTCCCAGATCTTCACTGTGAACCCTTATATCTTCAGGGGCCTCTTTATCATCGATGGCAAAGGTGTCCTTCGCCAGATCACTGTCAATGATTTGCCTGTGGGGCGCTCCGTGGATGAGGCTCTTCGGCTGGTTCAGGCCTTTCAGTATACCGATGAGCATGGGGAAGGTGAGTGGGCACACATTTACATGTGTTCATGCCTGGGCACGTACACAGCCCCTTCTCTGTCCCTTTGCGGACACCTGTGTGACATGGATGTGAGGGCCCCAAAGATGATTCAGCTCAGGGCCTTATCTGCAGGAAGTTTCTAGTCTGGTGGGGGGAGATACCCCAATATGAGGGTGGGGAGCTGGAGGCTAATAATAAAAATCTTTAGAGAAGGTATTTGAGAAGGCATGTGCCAAGGCAGACTTGAATAAAATTAGTTGGATCAGAGTACCTTCTTGGGTGCAGGGCATAGCCTGATCATAGTCTCTCAAACTCTAGTAGGGGTGAGGATGAGGGGGAGAGATGGGGCAAAAGGGGCCAAAAAGAAATTAAAATGTCAGCCAGAAATATATGCCTGGGCTTGGGGACTTCTGTCTACATATGGTATGGTCTTGGGCCTGGACCACTTGGCTTTGGGCTTTTTCTTTTGCACCCTGGATCTCTCTTTGCTTCTCACTGGTGCCCTGCCTTGAATATGGGACCGTAGCCTCACATGTGCCTTTTTGTGTCTTCCCACAGTCTGTCCTGCTGGCTGGAAGCCAGGGAGTGACACGATCAAGCCCAATGTGGATGACAGCAAGGAATACTTCTCCAAACACAACTAGGCTGACAAACAGGCACCAAGCTTGGGTTCTGGGCCCCTACCTGGGTGCCCTGTGCTGGCCGAGGAAAGGCCAGATCTGCCCCTTCATGTTCTACAGTCTGTGACCTGAAAGGGCTAGTCCTAGGCCTTTTCATATTCCTAGCTGAGTGGTGAATGGTGACCCATCCCTGGAGCTGCCCAACCAGGCACAGGCCTAGAGGTGACCAATAAAGTATTAGGGACAGATGTGAGTCTGTGTTGGTGTGGTCTGTCCTATAGACTCCCTTGCCCACCCCTGTGTCCTCCAAGCGCTGGCCTTAGAAACTGGCTCTGTAGTTACTTATCTGCAACACAAGGTGGCAGTCTTATCCCATGTTCACTGCTTTCCTTTTTTGGCCTAAGAGCAGTTTATAGGGTGAGGGGGACTATTTGCCCCTTGCCTGGAGCAAGTCCCTGGACTTGGCCTTGGAGGGCAGTCCCCAGACCTCATCATCAGCCAGGCTGCATTCAAATGTCATTTAAGAGATGTGATCCTTCCTGGCTCTCTTTATCAGGAAAATGGTAATAAAAACAACCAAGCCAGGTCATCATGCATGTTAAAAGAGATCAAGTATGTGAAGCTCAGCCCAGTGAATGGTTACTAGGGCAGGTTCCTGGGCCTGAAGAAAGAATTCAGTCTTATGGGAAAGAGGGTGTATGAGCAGAACTAAGAATGGGAGCTCAAGCTATATGCACAATGGGCAAGCTCTGTCCCACCACAGGTTGGAAGGGCTGCCTGTTGCTGCCTGTTAGCCCCTAGGGTGAAAGGGTGAGGGTTAGGCTAGGAGGCAGGTGTCAGGAGCAAGGCAATTTTCCCAGGAGTGTAGTTTGATATATGTGCCCAGGCAAGTGGCATTTCTACTCTGGGCCCCCATTTCCTTCCACAGAACTGGATAGACAAGCTTGTTTAATCCGCAGACCCATTAATATTGCTATCCAGCTTAATACCCACTGAAGTCACTAATCTCAGCCTTGAAATTTTATCTACAGTTCTGCTCAAGGCCCTGTGTGGTCTTTCCTGACCTCATCTCCATCCTTCTGGTTTATTCCATTCCAGACACACTGGCTTCTTACTGTTCTTTAACAGGCTGATCTTGCTCTGGACACAGGAACTACGTGTGTTCCCTCTGTGCAGAATGCTGTTACTCAGGATTTTCTTGGCTGGTCTTCAAATCTGGTCTCATTAAAGGTCCATGTTCCCAATCCATTCTCCACAGCAGCTCATCTCCCTTGCCCCATCACTACTACTTTGACCTGTGTCTTCTCAGCACATAACCACCATCTACAAGTCGTGTTTCCTTGTTCATTATATGTCTGCCTGCTGTGGTCCGGACGGTGTCTCCAGCTAGGGCCAGGTTGTTCAGTAGTTTGTAAATGAATTAATAAAGTGTCTGTTCTGCCCATCCCGGCCCTGTTGCCTGGTTTCTCTACTGTTCTGAGTGCTTCCAGCTCTCAGGCCAGCCTGCCCTCTCGGGGGTCGCACCAGCTGTCCTCATTCCCATTATAGTTGTGCGGGAAGGAACCCCGGGAGAGCGTCAGCGTCGAGGCGCTCTGCGGCCAGAGCAGCCGCCCTGGCAGGACCAGACCTGGCAGTTGCCCTGATCCTGGCCTGGCACCCGGAGGGGAAACTGGCAGGCAGGCACCGCCCTTCCTGGCGAGGGTGAGGGGGACCCAGGCGGCAAGAACATGCAGGCAGCAGCAACCCCTCACCCAGGTCAGATCAGACGAGCGTGGGCGCGGTGGGGCCAGGGCGCCAACCAGAGGAGGGAGGCTCTGGGTGACTCCCTGGCCCCAAAAGCGCGGCCCGCCCACTTCGGACGCTCTGGACCCAAGCCTGGGGCTTTCCGGGCCCGGGCAGCCACCCGCCTGGGAAAATCCCGGCCTCCTTCCGGGCGCCGCGGCCCTTGCCCGGCAGAGCGGGGGAGGGGATTCCCGGAATCTGCCCAGAGACCGCCGCCGCGTCACTAGGCAGCATCCACCCGTATAAGGGCAGCGCTTCCGTTGCGTCAGCAGGGAAAGCCCCGGCGTCCGCGGCTAGGCGGGGTCGCGCCTGCGCACTGCACGTATCGCCCCAAGCATCCTGCCCCAGGTGTTGGGGTGGCTGGACTGCGTACCCGCCCTGGACTTTCCAACTCCTGGGATCAGGGAACGCGAGGAGGGACTGAGATTCTTGGGCAGACCTGGCGAGGGGACACAAATACAGAAGCGAGCCACAAACAGCATTGGGGTGGGGACATCCCAATACTCTCCTCCCTACATCCGCCAGGCTTGGAAAAAAAGACAACAGAAATTAATAAAGAACGGGTGTTTTTTTTTTTTACTTAAATAGATTCAATAAAAAGTCAGGACAACAAACTCACACACACACAAACACATCTTAAAATAAACTATTTAGGGAGTTCGTGTTTCTTCTCCACAGTACGGTGCAGAGGGGGAAGGGTAGGGGGGCGTGGGTCTCCTCCCCAGTGTCCCCGCAGGCTTGAGTACCGGACGGCGGAACCAGCTCCGCCGCGATCGCCCCCTCCTCCCCTCTCTGTTAAATACACAAATATATTATATTCAATATGAATTGAGTCCATTTCCAGAAGAAAAAAAAAAACGTGAAAGGGGCTACTTGTAAACGTCGAGGTGGAAGGACTGGGCGCAGAGCCGGCCGGCAGGAGTCCAGTGTTGTTTTCGTCGCCCCTAACCCCCGGGGCCGGTGCCCACCTCCCTCGCTCTGTGGGAGGCGTGAGTCCAGCCGTCCAGGCTGGGGGAGGGGGAATGTCCGTACGGAGAAGGGGTACTCAGAAAGCATGTCCCTTGACCCCAAGGAGCAGCTGACAGCCATTGCTGACGTGGGTCATGACCTTCTGTTTGAGCTGGGCCACCTGCTCCCGGAGGAGACCGGCAGTGCTCGAGAGCCCGGCGTTTTCGGCCTTGAGCGTCTTCACCTTGTCCTCCAGGCGCGCGATGCGCTCCAGCTTCCGCTTCCGGCACTTGGTGGCCGCCAGCCGGTTCCGCAGCCGCTTGCGCTCCACTTTGATGCGCTCTTGGTCTTCCATGTTGATGGGAGACACTGGCGGCGTGGCGTCGCGGCTGCGCGCCTCAGGCACGGTCTGTGGTTCCTCCTTGAAGGTGGAGGCGCCGCGACCCAGGCCCAGCTGCGCTGGGTGGCCGCCGGCAAAGGGCGGCGCGTGTGGGAGGTAGCTGATGGTGGCCGTCGGATACGAGCTGCCGGTCCCGACGGTGGCCCCGGCGCCTCCGGAGGGCGCAGAGGCTGGGGAATAGCTGCTGAGGTTTGTGTAGACGGGAGGAGGCTCCGGGCCGGCATAGACACCCCCGGGCCCCGCTGGGGGTCCCCCGCTGGCGCCCAGGGACACGTTGGGGGGCGTCACGTGGTTCATCTTGTGTAGGTCGTCCAGGGCTTTGACAAAGCCGTCGGCAAAGCCCTCCTGCTCCTCGGTGACGCCGCCCCCTGCGCCCCCCGCACTTCCACCGTTGCCACCCCCGCGAGGGTAAAAGTACTGTCCCGGGGGTGTGGGCGTCGTCGTGATCACGCCGTTGCTGTTGGGGACAATCAGGCGCTCCAGCTCTGATGAGGCGAGCTTAAGCGACGCTCCTGTGTCCGAGCTCTGGCCGGAAAAGTAGCTGCCACCACCGCTGCCCTCTGGGCCGGGGCCGCGCGCGCCAGGGGCTTTCAGACCTCGGTAAGGGTCGGTCAGGTTAAGCGCCAGGCTAGGTTTCAGGAGTTTGTAGTCGTGTAGAGAGAGGCCGCCCGGGGCCCGGCCGTATCCCGCGGTTGTGTATGAGTCGTCGTGGTAGAAGGGCTGTTCCATTTTAGTGCACATCCGGGCGGCCCGGGCGGTCTGGGGGTGGTCCCTGCGGGGCCGCCCCGGGCCTCGCTGCGGCGAGCGGTGAGCTGTCCTCGGCGGTGGCTTCACTGGGTGTCTGGAAGCGTGGTCCCGGGGACTGGCACCGGCCCGCAGAGGCCCGCGGGACGCCGTGCGCGGAAGCTCTGTACGGCTTCGCGAGTCCCTCTGCCCCTCTCTGGCGCGCTTGCTTTCTTGGTGTCGCTTCCCCCAGCTTCCCGCTCCCTGCTGGCTCTGACGCTGGCCTGCCGCGCTCAAGGTCCCAGCCGCTCAGCCGGAGCCACACGCCTTTATACGGCGATTGAGCTGCGGAAGTGCGCTCCGATTGGCCGTCGCGCGAGCCCCCAGCGGCCCCCTCCTGGAGCGTGGGGAAGGGGAGGAGGCGGCTCGCGTCACTGTCAGGAAGCGCGTGTCCTTGTAAACAGCGGCCACGGGCTGGGTGGTTTGGCGAGGCTGCAGGGGGAGGGGCTCAGGGGACCGGGGGGGCGCGCGAGGAAGGGGATGCTGGGATGGTCGGAGGCACACCCGGAGTGGCTGCGGGGGGGGGGGGGGTGATGATACCCCTGAGTATGCGATGAGGGGCTTGAGGAACTGGTACAGAGCAAGCGTTTGTGGGGGGTGCGGGGGTCCTAAGTTGTACACAGAAGGCTTGAAGAATCCGTAGTATCTGAGTAGCTGGAGTGCTATGGATAGAGAGACGGGAAGGTTAAGCAGGGTAAATGGGAGAGCAGTAAGGGGCGAGACGCCTGACTCAGGAATTGAGTGGGGGTCCCTTGTAGCGTGGGGTTGAGGGACTAAGCCCAGGAAAAGTGTGTGTGGGGTAGGGGGATGAAAAGGGTGTATGGGAAGGAGTTTGAAGACCCATTACTGAACATATGAGTAGGGGTCCGGGAGTCCATGGGAGAGGCTGATGCCTGACATAAATGGGAAAGGGGATCTAGATATGCACAGTGAGTAAGGGTCCTGGGGTACCGTGAGTCAGGGGAAATGTGTGTGGTAGAAGAGAGGCACACTGTCACAGATTGGGGTCATCTGTGAAGCTCTGATGAAGGGGAATTAGAAGGGTCAGGGCACATCTTCAGAGCTGAGATGACTGACCATGACAGAGGGTCCTCGGTTGAGACATGAGGGAGAGAAGGGTCATTGGGGACCCTGAGGAACTGGACTGCTGGATTTTCCATGACTTTTCCCTCTCTTGATGGTGACCTCCAGGCGTCTGTATACTCTGTCCCTATCCCAAAGACCTCCCCCGTAACCCTGGGCTTGACCGACACCACGTCGGCTCCCAGATGCCTGGACCCAGCCCCAAGGCCGGGGCGCGGTCGCCAACCCCACTCCTTCCTTAGAAACAGGCCG